ATCTTCACCGGCAAAGCCCGCGCGAGTGGTTGAATATCCCGGGTCTAGGACAATGGCCGACACCTCATCTATAGTCGTGCGATGATTAGTATCTTGCGCGATAGTAGTCAATCGTTCTTTGGGATCGCAGCGGCAGGCGCAATTGGAATGGCATATCTGGGATCACATACCTCCACCATACTCGGCAGCTTGAGGTGGGTTGGAAGGGTTCATCGTGAAAGTTGTGCAGGTATATCTAGGAAAGGGGTCGTAGCTGTCACAATGATTATGTGGATATTCTGGATGAGATCGCTTAAAGACAAATCAAGACGTGACCATGCGTATCGGACGGACAATCAGAGGGGCTGGTCGGAGGCAGGAGAAGGGCGGGTCTTTTTGGTGCGGGTGTAGCTTTGGCTTTGACTCCCAAACGGGCAGTTCAAGATTGGGCTTAGTCACCGTGAACCGCGGTGATGACTAATCAGGTACATTCGCTCGGCCCTAAGTAGATGTTTCGAGTATATATGGTCATGCTTGAGTCTGCATCCTGTTTATGGTTAGTATTGGAGGTGTACAGAGCTGGGTGAAAGAAAACCCATATGATACACCAAAAATAAACTGATGGGGTGGTGTATATATAATCCGAAATGAACCAAAAAGGCTCTATACCGAACAAGACATACCCAACAAACAAGACATCATTTCCTTTCTCCCTATTCCTCGTTTTTATTTCGTAACTTGATGCCTTTGTATGCATTTTATGCTTACTTCAATGTTTGGGCAAAAATAATCATTCGGCGTATTGAACTATCTGCACGAACCATCCGGCATATAGTATCTGAATATATATAGCAAAAATAGTCAGCCGGTTAGGCGGCCTTTGTCCCTGACAACGCAGGACTTTAATAACAAATCGAGGATCCACTTGACTCAAGATGATTCTATAGACTGTATACATTGGATAACACTACAATATCTTTGCTCCTTGGTGTTTGGAGCTAGAAGGATAAAGATAGTTGGCCGCAAATTGCCCATCACCTGTGGTTAAAAGAAGCTTGTGACTTGGCAGCTCTTTGAAAAAGTGGTCAGAAATAGTACTGGCGCAAAGTCATTATGGTATCGTATGCATATCGAGTAAAAACATATGCCGTAGAGGATTAAGTACATAAAGTCCATATTAAGGGAAATCTGCCGCTTTGGATGAAAGCAACAATCATTTCTTTCCCGCCTGTGCTTCCTTCTCTCGCATTGCAGCTCTTGCACTGCGACTGCCTCCAAGCTTCGGACCTCGAGGCACCTCAACATTAGCCGCCGGTTTTGCTGCGGGCCGAGTTCGACGACGAGTCTGCATGGCGTCCATAAAGTCTCGCCTGAATTGCTCAGCAACTCGGTCATCAGCAGCCTGTTGGTCATCAAGTTGTGTTTCCTCCTCGTGTTCATCATAAATTTCCACTATAATAGTAGTGTTAGCAAAGACAAAGATTCTGTAAGATTCTACACTTGAATACGACCTACATCTGCTCTCACGTAGTACCTCCTCGACAAGACGATCTCTTGCGATGTCTGCCTCTGTCCTCTGTTTGCGATTACGCCATGACTTGCCGTCTGGGCCAGGGCGACCCGTCTCTGAAGCAGCATGAGCCACTGATGCGGGCAGTTCTCCCTTCTCGGTCATTTGCCGAGTCGCAGCTTCTGTCCGTACAATGTTTCGTAATGTGGCTTCGTGACCGAGGTCGATTTCATGGAGTTTGCCTAGCGATGCAGGTTCACGTGTCTGATGTCCAGGTAGCGATAGCCCCGCAGCGACTTCTTCCTGGGTTGGTTGGTTGGAACCTGAGTGGTCCACCTTTGATTCGGGCTGGTAGCGCTTAGCCATCTCGGAATCTATGAATGCCATCCTTATCTCGTTAGTCTACATTAAACGAACTGAACGATCAGCTATAGGAAAAAAATTCGTACATGTGCTTGTCAACATCCACTGTCTGACCAGTATATCCCGTGAAACGTTCGTTCATTGCTCGGATCTTCTCATCCTCAGTTTCTCCGGCTGCTGGTACTCGCGCTAGTTGCTGACCCTGATCATCTCCTAGTCGTGACGCGGTAGAAAACCCAATGCCGCCCTTCCGAACTGCGCGTGGCCGCCGAAGATTATTGCTCCCCGGAGCCTGTGACGCGCTAGGATTGTCATTCTGGTAATCGGCCTCTTCGGTGTCTGGGATCTCATGATCGGGACGTCGTCGCATGAACTTGCGCTTTTTCGCTGGACGAAACAGGGATTCGGTTGGCACAACATCTTCTTGCGTGTCCATAGTGATTTGCGGCAACGTAAACTTGGGTGGCAGAGGAAAGACAAGCGGCAAATTAATTGTCAAGGTGAGGTCATTCAGCAGACCAACTACAATTGGCCGATTCCCGACCGCTCTTTATTCTGCCTATTATATCGATTATGGAAGCACGATAAAACGAAATCCTAACATGTAAGCTTCCCTTTTTAGACAAATTAGACCTAAATTCGAATATGACATAAGAATATCAACCTGCAATTGCTTCTAAGCTAGGCCCTAGTCTTCTAGCAACTTGCGGGAGCCTTATGTCCCTATAACAATAATCCAGGCATATGAGGCTGCGATAGTACAGATACAGTAGGCGGTCAACCTTGGAAGGCCTACAAGTAGTAACTTGCCCATACACCAGCGTTTGGCTGATATAATTGTTCAAATGTTGTCGATTATGCAAGTTGATGTAATACTATAAATTACCTGATCATAGTTTGCGTTACCCTAGTATAAACCTAAGGCTAACTAAAAATAGCCGAAGTAGATATTGACATGACTGAACCGGCTACCTAAGTACCTACATAGGTAAGGTTTGTCAAGGATTTTCAACTCCAAGTAAACAAAGAGATATTCCCGATGATTTTACTACTCAATCTCAAAATCAGGTTAGAGCCAAAATATGTATGATTATTGAACCGGGACACGAGTCACGCGACATCAAAAAGAGAGTTGTTTGATCCAGAGCCTATCCATAGCTCTTCCAACGCATACATAGCCCTCCAGGACTGTTTATCTTATCTGACAGGGATGGTAAGTGTAGAGCAGCGTGCATTGAGATATACTTCCAAGGTAGGTTATATGATAGGAGAATAAAGTAGTCAAAGTTTGCTAGTCGGACCTGGAAAGTCTAGCCTTGGTTAGGCCCGGGGGATTTTCCCTATTCCCGAGGTCCGTTTCCGACCGACTTAGGTGGTTTTGCCTAGATCGCTTGCATTTATCCGAGAATAGCCACGTGTATTACCCGGGGTAACTAATATACAAGTTCCAAACTAATGAACCTGGGACCCAGAGGAGGACCCGAATAATACCATACATTAGCTTTTGAGACTACGAAGTATACTTTCCACAGAAGACCGAGGAAGACCGGGTGTCGCTAATATCTAGAGACGCGAGGGCCATTGGATTATAGAAAAATAAAACGAAACATGTGTCACCGAAAGAGATTGAACCCCTAAAGCCGTCTCCGTAATTGTGCCGCGCCCAGCACATATGCCCTGTGTCTTGGACGGCTAGTAGCGGGAAACCGAGTCACGGATGAAGGGCATATGGATATCACGCGCTTAATTTAGCCATCATGTGTCTAATTTAACTTAATGATATGAATCGGGAAGTTGTGCTCCGTACTAGAATAACCAATACAAAATTTTAGATCCATTTGTACATGTACTATGTGCACACTATGTGCATAGAATTCTGGAACATGACCCCGGACGGGGTTTTATCTCTGGCTGATTCAGGATCTGACCGAAGGTACAAATAATCAAAATATGTCGGTAAGCGTGTTCGTAAGCATGTCAAACAAGAGGAAAAGGCTAGAAATTTCCCTCCCTAGGTTAGGGTAGATTGTCAAACCTCTAAGCTATAGTGTAGCGAGCATATGCTTTCAATTTGGCTATTTTAAAAAAAATTGCTGACCGATCTCTCTCAATTCATCCATTTGGTTATTGGTCAAGTTTTTCACCTTATCTAGAGTATCTACTAGACCCCGCAAAAAAATGTTGAGATTTCAGACTCCAGGTGAGCCGAATACGTCTACGGTGTGCAGAGAGGTCTTCCATGAATTTTCTCAACAATATAACTCGGACATCTCTCGGAGAAAGCGGCAAGGTATCCACCTGGGTCCCAGGGAAGAATACGTACATAAAGGACAACGTAGGTGGCTACCTAGATAGCCGAGGATATTCAAGACTTCCCTTCTCTTTTCCTGAACCAAAAAATGACGATCTCCGCTAGATATATATCTTAATACGGGAAAATCCGGAGAGTGACCGAGATGGTGGAGTGGGATGAAAAAACCCCAGGTTAAATTCGAAGTTGAATTTACTATATCTTGGCACTTGGCAGTGGACAAGCCTTAAGCCTTTGAGGCTAGCTCAAGCCTTTTCCCGAGTTTGGAATGCCGAGACCGGTCCGAGTAGGTAATGATACTCTCAATGATACTCTCAAAAATCGTACCTAAAAATTTTCATGCCCCGGCATTTGTCGGAAAATAAAATGTGCCAGTACTTCCCCAAAATGTTTCTTCAAATTCCAGGGGATTCTAATTGACGGACTAAGACCGGGGGAGGGGGGCCGTAATCTAGTCTATATTATTCGGCATTTCATCCAATCAGCCCTCAGATTATCCCGCCTCTTAACTATAATTTTCGGCCCTAAGTGGCCGTGGATCTAAGCGGTTTTAACTCGGGTGTGGCGAAGGCACCGGATCATTGCACACCGGGACCAAACCTACCCCGTGGAGTCGGCGGTATGGTCGAGTCACAGTCCCATAATATCGAAATTTGACTAAAGTAGTGGCACCACGGTGGATAGTCCCAATCCACTGTGGAATTCTCCATCCCACAGGTACAATGATTAATTTTTCTGATGCGGGGTCTCCACGAGAAGGGCTGACCGGCTATAAACCCATGGAGAGTCCTCTTCTTCTTCTCTCTCTCTCTCTCATCCCTATACACACACTCCAATATGGTCACATTATTCCGAGGAAAAGCACTGAGCGTAGCGCAGGCGCTGCTCATTGTAGCACCGGCCTTCATCGTCTTCGGTTACAACCAATCTGGCTTGGGCCCTCTGGCTACCTTGCAGAGCTGGGTGAGCGTGTTCCCTGAAATCGACACAATCAACACCGAGGGTGCTCAGCGTGCGCATAACTCGACAGGCAAGGGTACTGTGATCGGATCCTTCCAGCTCGGTGCTCTATTTGGAGCCTTGTCGTGTACATTCCTGGGTGACCGCCTCGGTCGCCGCAAGACTATCTTCTTGGGTGCTATCCTTACTATCATCGGTCAACTGCTGCAGACTGCGGCTTACGGGTTGCCACAATTCATTGTTGGCCGTGTTATTCTTGGTGTCGGTGTCGGTCAACTGAGTGTTGCCGTTCCCGTATGGCAGTCTGAGTGCACATCAGCCAAACACCGTGGACAACACGTGGTCGTGGACGGTATCTGTATCTGTTTGGGTTACGTTCTCTGTAACTGGATTGATTTTGGCTTGAGCAAAGTCCCTGGAGCCTTGCAATGGCGTGTGCCGCTGGCCATTTCCTTCTTCTTCTCCCTCGTCGTTGTGCTCTCAATCTTCTTGCTCCCCGAGTCTCCTCGATGGCTCGTGCGAGTTGGCCGGGTCGAAGAGGCCGCCCAAAGTCTAGCTGCCTACAAGGGTCTGTCTGAAGATGACGAGGCTGTCCGCACCGAAATCGCTAGCATCGAGACCTCCCTCGAGAGTACAGTCGACAGCACCTCGCTCATGGATATCTTCAGCAGCAAGGCCGACGACGAGCGTCTTCTCTACCGGTTCTGTCTGTGTGTTGCACTGCAATTCTTCCAGCAAATGTGTGGTGGAAACCTGATCTCGACATACGTGTCCACAATCTTCGAAGAGAACCTCAACATGAGCAGTGACCTGGCTCGCATTCTGTCTTCATGTGCCATGACCTGGAAGTTCATCTGCAGCTTCATCTCCTTCTTCGCCATCGACCGACTCGGCCGCCGAAAGATCTTCATGATCAGCGGCACTGGTATGTGTGTCTGCATGACCGTCCTCGCCATCACCAACAGCTTCAAAGACAACACAACTGCCTCGATTATTTCGGCCGTCTTCATCTTCCTCTTCAACTCGTTCTATCCTATCGGTTTCCTTGGTGGTAACTTCCTCTACTGTACCGAGGTCGCTCCTATGCGTCTCCGTGTCGCCATGTCCGCCGTCTCGACTGCGAACCACTGGCTGTGGAACTTTGTGGTTGTCATGATCACCCCCGTCGCGCTCGATACCATCGGATACAAGTACTACATTGTGTACGCTGTCATCTCTGCTTGCATTCCAGTCTCGGTTTACTTCTTCTATCCCGAGACGATGAACCGCAACTTGGAGGCTTTGAACCACGTCTTTCGCGATGCCGCGACCCCATGGGATATTGTCGCCATGGCTCGTCGCCTGCCTCAGGGCGAGGCTTCCGAGGTGGACGAGTGGATGCACTCGGAGGAGAAGCGTGCGATTGACCAGAAGGAAAATGCTTAAATTATAGATTAGATTTGTTTGAGACGTTGCCAACTGTATATACTATGTCTGACGATGATGATAGAATGGATTGTACTGAAGTATAATCTAAATAAATGAGATCATTAAATTGAGCCTATCAAGAATTTTTCCCTCTGAGATGTCCCAAGTCCCATGAACAGCCTAAATGCAACTCAGAGATGTAAATTATTTCTCAGGAACGTCAAGTCAACTTCTTTGTCTTCTATTCTTGGACCTCTCTCGGGTTTCAATGCTATCTTTGAGTTGATATACCATGTCATTGTCATTGTTTTCCCAAGGTTATTAACTCCACGTCGGGTTTCTTTGTCTTCCAAGGCTATGTTTGGGTCCACGTCCTCGGAGTATTATTAATTGTTCACCCTTTGTGTTTTATTCTTTGGCCTTATCTCTGGAATTGTGTGCTTGGTCACGATGAGGATAATAATAGCTTCAACAAAGACCAGTCAAATGACCAGAGCTACCTATATAATCCCCCCTCTGCACGTCTCCTGGTCTTCATTCCAAGTTCATTATCCAATAAACCAAATTGTTTCATTTATCTCAAAATTACCAGCACAATGCTCAGAAGAATTCGTCACTCATTGAATTGTTTACCAAGACGCCACTGCAGTTGTGACTCTGACAGCGACTCTTCGGTGGTCCGACGACCTAAGCGCACACAGCGAGGAACCCGACCTAATCGCCCAGTAGTAAATGCACCAAAGCAAGTCCTGCGTCAACCACTTCCTAAGAATGTGGACAAAAGCCCGGCTCCAGCCGAGCCCAAACACAGCAATAAAGGTGAAGAGAACGAAGAAGTTGAGGATGACGATGGCGGCGATGATTGTTATTCTGCTGACCCCCCACCCACCGAGGTTTCTCACACAGGAATAACACCCGCAGTGAGTGAGACAAATATCGAAGGTGAGTCTTTGTCTAGTGATGACCCATCTTCCCTTTCAACAAGATATCCACACGCAGACTGCCCACCCGAGCTAAGTGATGTCTATTCCAACAAGAGTTCATCTAGTGATGACTTTTATTCCGTTTCAACAAGAAATTTACACACAAGTATCACTCCTGAGATGAGTGATGCCGGCCGTAGTGAGTCCCAATATCATTCATTCCCAGAATCAGAAGGAAGCTCTTTTCCAGTGAGAATGTATTCTGCATGTGAAACCAGTACCGACGAAGAGGGCTACAATGGAGCTGATGAGGGCAGCTATAATTTCGACGGAACCCAACACCACGACGAAGAAATGTGCGATGACGAGACAGTGCCTGAGCTTGGAGAAATTGGAGGACGAACCGAATATTACAGCTCCGAATATCATAGCCAATCATGGCGGAGCACTTCTAGTGATAGAAGGCGCCGGCGTTCGCTAGAGAGTCAAGCTCGAGCCGATGCTGAATACAGGGATCTTCATGGCTCCGGCGGCAGTAGCGGCGGCAGCAAGCGGCAGCGTCTTGAACGGTCATCCGGTATCGCAAGCGGGAGAGTGAAGAGTGATGTCGAACCAACCACGAGAGACATCTTCAGGTACCGAAAGAAAGGAGCACAATACCAAAGATGGATAGACGACCCCGCAGAGCCAGGATGCAACGTTTACCCGGCAACATTAACTATAGAGCAAATGACTGACGAAATGCAGCAATACCCTTGGGTAATCCAGGACTCTTACACCACGGTTGAGCCCATGGCACTTCAAGGCGGTGATGTCGAATCGATGAATATTGCTCGTGGGGGTGAACGATACCGCTACACATACCTCCGAAGAGATCCGGGACCAAATTCGCACGATTCTTGTGAATTTGAACATCGGGTTGCCCGTGGCGTTCTCGTTGCGGAGAGACTTTGGAAGGAAGACGGTCCTCATTGGAATGAGGTCGCTCGGGCTCAATACTTGCTTGATTTTAACCTGAAAACTCTGAGGCATGTTGTTTTTACTGATGTCTGGAATGAGGAAACAGCTCCGTATATACGCCATGAACTATACCCTAGATTGGGTGTTACATGGGCACAGGCAGGAAACGTCGACTGTATGGTATTTGAGCACGGTAGCACTGAATACCACGAGCTCCTCGGTACACAGTTGGGTAAAGGCGTCGCTTGCCTTGTTCTTTCATCATTCCCTAGGGGAACAATGAAGATCAATCGTATTGTCACTTGGTCTAATTCGGATTTGCCGCAGATTAGATTTGTGATTGAACCTGTTACTGGTGCGCCTATTGCTGTGGCCACAGCTGCATCATTTATATGATTTGATTAATTGCATCTACTGGCGCTAGAATTTAGTTTATGGAATTGTTTTAGAGATAAAAAGCAGCTTACTCTTATAATCTTTCAGTTCGCTTCTATAGTAGACAACCTTTAGAAAATAGTAATTAGTTAGGTTGGCCAGACACGTGGGATATCTTCCAAGCTTAACATGGGCAATTGTTAATAGTTATGTAAAGTTTGAGACTGACTGCTTTCAGGAAGTCATCAGAAATAAGAAATTATACAAGAATGGGCAGGGAAGATGGTCACAGCCACAGACAGCAAAAAGAAAACAAGACAGGAAGATCGCAAGCTGGGTATCAGCCCAAGTATTATACAGCATCGGCAATGATAACCTCAGCAGCCTTCTCACTAATCATGTAAATTGGTAGGGCGATATAGTACCCCGGAATCTTGGGAAAGACGGAAGCATCCACAACACGCAGCCCATCAACCCCCCGAACACGGAAGTCAGCATCCAACACAGCCTGAGGATCTCCATCCTCTCCAATAGCAGCGGTGCAGCAAGCATGGTGGCCCCATGCCTCTTGCTTAATGAAGTCTTTCATCTCACTCTCGCTAGTGACATTAGGTCCCGGCCAGACCTCTTCAAATCCGCCATCGAGGGGAATAAGATCATCAAAGATCGTGCGGGAGAATTGCATTGCTTCATACACAGCCTGCAAGTCCTTGTCATCTGCACCATCTGTGGTCACTCCGGTATCGAACGAGTGGAAGTTGATAAGGGGCATATCACGTGGGTCAGTAGATCGCAGCTCAACCGTGCCGGCATTGTTGCGGGAGCGTGATTTCAACGTGATCCAGGTCCAGTGCTGGGAATCCTTGAGCCCTTCGTAAGAATAGTTGGGATAATAACCGGGAAAGTTGACCGGTGCTCCTGAGATCAGTAGGTCGGGCTCATCCTCTGCGACAGACGACTTGCGAATGATGGCTATGGCAATTCCATTGGTGGTATAGGTGCCCTTGAACAAGGGATTGTTTTCATACTGCTCCAGACAAGGATCGGGAAGGGAATACATAAAGGTACACTTGGATGTGAGGACGAAATCGGTGGGTGACTTTCCCACTGTACCCATCTCGTACCGGTCCTGAAGGTTACGACCGACGCCGGGGAGATTCACCAGGGTTGAAATTCCAAGCTTGGATAACTCCTCCTTTGGGCCAATACCACTTAGCTTCAGTAGCTGGGGAGTGTTAAACGAGCCTGCAGATAGGATCACTTCACGAGCAGCACTCACGCTACCTGGTGTCCCGTCAGACGTTGTCTGAGAAGCCCGGGGGTCTGCGCGGTAGAGGCTCTGTCCCCGAAGGTAGTCAACCCCGGTAGCCCGTGGCTTAGCTCCGGTGGTATCGAACCGGAGTTTGGTGACCAGGGTGTTCAGCTGGATATCAAGGTGATATTTTCGCGAACCATCCGAGTTCACAGCATTGACCGTCTTCATGAGGAACTCTCGAGGACCTGTCCGCTTATACTCAGGAACATCCACAGCGAGAGGCACTTGGTATGGGCCCTCCTCGTAGTCGCGCGAGGGAAGGGGATTGTTCAGGTCACGCAGCAGAATTCCTGCAAGACCCGCGACCGTGGTGATCAGTTTACCCAACAGTGTTTGACCCGCGGCGGTCGCACCGGCCAGGATCAAGGACAGAAGCTTTTGGTCTTCAATGACAAGGCGCAAGTCTGTAAGACTCGTTGTAAGCCATCCGTCAAATCCGTGGCCTAGTAGGCTGCTGGGAAGATAGCGGTTGCGCTCTAGTCTCTTGAAGTATTGTCGCATATTTGAGGCAGACCATGACTCATTGCCAGTGAGACTTGCCAGTTGCTCCCAGTCATTCTCATACGGGTAGATGGTGCTATCAAGATAGTGATTAGCATATGATAGTCACGTCCGGCAAGCACCGCGGAGAGTATATGGCTCACATCATGGCATTGTGAGCGGAGCATCCACCCAAAGTACCTGCTCGAGGGTATAAAATCCCCAAGGGTTCGGAGCCATTGGGCGCATGGCTTCCAACATGGAGGTCACCGGAAGGTGTCCGGTAAGTCATCTTGGTGTCTTCTTTCTGACGAGTCAGGTTCGAGTAGTGATTCACGAAATAATCCCATCTCATCGGCTCGTATTCAGTAGATTGGAGCTGTAGAGCGGGGACGATTTGCTTGGTCGCATTTCCCTGGTCATCTCCTGCTTCTAGAAGAAGCACCTTGTACCCTGCAATTGCCAACCGTGCTGCTACAGGGCCACCTCCAGCGCCAGAGCCAACAACCACATAATCATACTTGGGGTTTTCGTTATCCGAAGACCGCTTGTGCGTATCATGATATCGATGGTCTGGTTTATGATCACTGTTTTACGGCGTTAGTCTGTACCATTTAAGATCCGAGTGGGCAACTGGGGAAATACGTACTAAGCCAAAACAACCGAAAGGGTGGACAGTAGCCCAATGATTGCAGAAAAACGCATAGCAAAAGAAGGGAGAAGTACTCCAAAATCAAAAGAGCAAAAATGAAATCTTCAAGCAAAAGCAAAAGAGCGAAAATGAAATCTTCAAGCAAAAGCAAAAGAGCGAAAATGGAATCTTCAAGCAAAAGCAAAAGAGCGACCTAGGATAGACACAACTCGTCTCCTGGGCTCTGGTTCTATTATAAGACCGAAGCAAAAGCACGACGGGCATACAATTTTTGGCCGTGCTATATCCCCCTTCTCCTTGTGGATGCGATCGACAAAAGCTTCTACTTTCCAAGTTAGCCTGTATCCCGCATGAATATCTCGGCATACACCAATACAGCTCTGGTAACAGAAGTATTCCCGAGGGCGTTTATAGTAAATTTCCTCTGTTGGGTTGCTTCCTATCTATGTAGTTCGTAAAGGGGTTCCTTGCACCTAAAGATAACTCTGACAAATGAAGGATATCTTATGGGGTCAAAATATGTTTGGATCCTGATTCCTCGAGCCGACGTCTTCATTTGGCACGCCGATCATACAGCCCCCGAACAGCCGGTGAAGCTAGTCTTTGGTTAATGTTCTTTTTTTGCTCGTAACAATGATATATTTTACTGTTTCGGGTATTCTAAGTATTACTGCGCAAAATGAGTGGATCGGGACTTCTCCATACTGTGACTTTCGAAAGCCACTCGGGAGTTGCTCCACTCTCCAGTAAAGACAGATGTAACGGCTATCTGTGCGGAGGACACTGTGCCTGGAAGCTAAAAGCCCCTTATTATCTTGCTTCCTTCCTGTTTCAATAATGCCGGAAATATCCCCTTATATGTGGAGTTAATTTTGTATGGAACGAAATTACGATATAGTCACTTGAATAAGTAAAGTTGTATTATGCGTTTATTAAATTGAAGAGGAACGACGTCAATTTAGTAGGATTCAACAATCCGATGACTGCAAATAAATGAATACAAAAATAGAAGAGAGATGAGGGCAATGAAAGATATTTCCATTTCCCTACATAAGAAGACACCCGGTCATTTTCGCCCTCGACTACACCGGGTGTGGGTGGTGTAGCCGGGCTTCATCAGAGTTGTCCACGTCATCAAGTGGGTAGAATTGGCGACTAGAACTCTTGTTCTGGACAGGGACAACTGCAAATTGAGATCCAGTCCCGCGGGAGTGAGAGTTCAGACCATATGATGATTTGGCGTGCTCGGTATCGCCAAAGAGTCCGGGAGATACACGACGGAGCAAGGATCGAATGGCAGGCAGACACGCACAGATAACGCCAACATCGCATTCAATAGTACTCCAATACCCAACAGTCACGTAGTCCCCTTACAGGTGTCAATGAACTTGCATATATCGAAAGAGGAAAGAGAAGAAAATGGAACACTCACACGTTAGGTTAGTGGTAGAGGCAAAGTGAATGAGGGAATTCAGCCGTAGGATGCTGACAAGGGTAACGCTAAACTCACAGGTTAGTCATTGACATTGTGGAACAGACCAGAATAGGGAAACACACAAGATGCCCAGGCTGAACATGCACATTACGTATGATTTCCGTTTTACGGAAAGGTTGAGACCGTATAGCTGGCGCAGTGGAAGAACCATGACAATAATATCAAGGACCATGTTGAGAGCTGCCGCTGCCCAGCCCTGTGCGTTGATATGGTTGCACTTGTAGTTTTCCTCTTCATACCAGCGGTGCCACGCTCCGGGTAGAGGGCGACACTGGAACACCGAGATCAAGACAAATGCAATCCAGTAGGAGACGTTCAGTGCAATTGTCACGTAAGTTGCTGTCCGAAACTGCCGATCAGGGAAGATCCGAAGGTAGAAACAACAAATTGATATCTTGGTCAGCGGGAGAATGCTCAGATAGATCAATTCATCCCAAAAGTATACCTGGCACAATTAGATAAGTTCGCCTTGAAAAGCGCAGGTAACACCTTTGGGGTACTCACATAGAGAATATGGGTGATGTTGTCGAACGGAAGGGTCCACATATCTTTTCCCAAACCTGCATTGGCCACTATATAGAACGATCAGCCGGGTGAAGATAGCTTTGACCAGATTCAAAGGAAACCATACAAACCACTGAGAGTGCCGAGAGTGGAATGAGAAAAGTCTGTCAATTTCCAGTGAGATGAAAATCCGATTTTAAGGGAAGGGAACTTTGTATATACCATCGTCAACATCATAGTCCAGTCATCCGCGCCGAAAATGCCACCACAGCATCCCAAACGAGCTACCATCCGGAGAATAAAAGCCACAAGTGCTATAACTCCACCTATAACCCCTGCATGAGAAACAATCTTTGTGCGATCCCGGATAGGGTCCCCGCACGCTGATGTCGTGACATTTTTTGTAGCTTGTGTATGTTAGCAGGGAATATATGGGGGAAGAAAGATTAGTCCATTGGCTCACTTAGAGATTCTTGAATTGTGCAACTAGTGAGGACGCACTTCTGGAGAACGGCTGTGTAATGTGCATCATTGCATAGACATTTCTGGTCGGTTTTCTCGCACGATGATTGGGATATCGAACTCGTCATACAGTCCAGCTTCAAAGGGTCAGTTTTATCGCGTTCGCAGAAGGATTATACTACCTACCGCGCACGAGGGTAGAACGGCCGCCAACTGTTCCATCCCTGCTATCACGCTCATTGCGAACAAGGCGGCCACGAGGGCTGCTGTACTGAACAAACGCATTGTGAAGATTGCAGTATATGATGCATTCGTGATCAAGAGACTGACAGAGGAGACCTGGGCTGAATTTGACTAGGAGGGTTAGGAGAATCTACGGAGTAATCTTATGAGATCCATGTCGATCTCTTGGCTGGGATAGAAGAGTTTGATGTTCCTCCCCTGTTGAGACTGTTAGCGTATGAGCCCCCCAAGTTCAAGTACCGAGCTCGTCCTCGTTGGGAGTTGCCTTTCTCCGTTTACAGGTGTTCAGGCAACAAACAGATCTATCACTGACAGCAATTCGGGAATTGTTTCAACTTCTCGACAATCCTCGCATTATGGCCTGAAAGTAACCCACAGCTTGCCGAGTTCCTGACCTAAATAAAATGGGTACAAAACAATTGCGTACAGCATACAGCCATACAGCCGGGATCCATCGAGAAGTTCGCTTAACTGGCCTCTCTGACATGGTGGCTGATTTAGAAAATTAGGATCTGCACCAATACGAGCCTTTCCCCAGTTCTTCTTGGCTCTAGCCTAGATGTTTCCGGGGCCCACAAATACCGGCCTGAGCGCCCACCAAGCAAGCCAAAGAGCTTGATAAGACGATGATCTACATTGGTACTTTGACACCTCGCCCCACCCGGGACGGGTTCATGTGTTCCACTTCTATAATTGACCCTAATTGTGTCCAGAAAGAGTCTATAAGAGGGCTCCGGAACAATCGCTGGCCCACTATTGCTCAGACCTTGCGGAGAGGATCCGAATATTATCCGCAGTGGGTCTACGTCTTGCTATTCTGAGGTAAAGATCGCTTCGATATTACGATACAAATACAAAGTACATCCGTTGACCCATAGTATAATGGCTCAGTGCCGTGATCGGCACTGTCATTGAACTAAGATTTGACTTCACCGCGAGGGCGTGCGCCAAGACCGAACATCCCCCAAAATCAGACCTGATCAACATCAACATAAAAATATAATATCCATAGCCAACCCGCGATATAGCCGAACGGATGAACTTGCAGGAATCAGGGGCTTATGCCGTGATATTTACGGCTTTTTTCAGGGATGCCAAAAAGGATCTGCAATGTAATTATTTCAGAGAGGAGGAGCGTTGAACCCGAATTCGAGCATCAAGTGGGCCGTTCAGCTTACTATATAGGATGTATCCTATGCGATACAGCTACTGTACGGCCGATATATTCTGAAATGAACTAATGCGCTAAGACCGGGCCATTCAGGGGGCTATCATTTCTCAGCGTGTGTATCATTAGGAGATTTACCTAGGCACCGAATCGCCGCCGGGTATCTAAGAGAGTTATTCGTCTCCTTTTGAACGGTGTTCTTCAAACGCCCGTTACATGATCATTCTTTCGATCCCAAGGGGAAACTGGCAGTTTTAGTGGAGGACCAACACATTCATCCATCATGCGAATCTTCACTCCAGTGATATTGCTCTGGCCACTGTCGCTTATTACTTTAGTATCTGCCTTCCCGGGGTCAATGAATGGCCACAATGGCCACTCAGCTCATCAAGGCGCGCACAAGCCTTGCCCATATGCCAACGCCCAGGGCCAAACCAAGCCGAAGACGGAACATGAAAAGCGGTTTCTCTTTAGTTTGATGAAATCGCCTGTTGATAGTATGCCGCAAAGTTTCACCTAAGCTGTCACAACTTCTAACACAAAACAATTATAGTTACCGGCGAACATTCATTTCAGCCCCCGAACTTCGAAAATGGTGACCAGCGAGGCCCCTGTCCAGGTCTCAATGCACTCGCAAACCATGGATATATCCCACGGAGCGGAGTGGTCTCGGTAGGTTATTCCCGTGTGACTGGCATCGACTCATAAGCTAAACGTGAAAAGTTCATACACGTCATTGCCGCAATCAACAAAGGTACCTTTGCATCATGAAATCATCGATGCGGCATGTTCTAAAGTCTATTCTACAGTGTATGGCATGGGCGTCGATTTGGCCACGATCCTTGCGATCATGGGCACCGTCTGGACTGGGGATGTGCTTTCCCTCGATCCCAGCTTCTCCATCGGGGGTCCCGATACTGGCGTTAACAACCTCCTGAATAACTTGGGTGGTGTCCTCGGTCCGAGCACCTTACTTTCTTGCAAATATTCATTGGTCGCTAATACTACCTGCAGGCGAACCCCAAGGCTTGATTGGCTCCCACAACTTTATCGAAGCAGACTCTTCTAACACGCGTGATGATCTCTACGTTACGGGCAATAGCTGGACGTTGAACATGGACAAGTTCATGGCTTGGTATAATATGTCCTCCGACGGCACTTATGATATGAGTCTCATGGCTGAACGCGCAAAAATCCGTATGGAGCAGACTATCCATACAAACCCGGATTTCTATTATGGACCCGTGACGGGGCTTATTGCGCGCAACGCTGGTTACATTTTTGCAGGTCGGCTCTTCCGAAACCACTCGCATGAAAACCCAGAGGGAACACTGAGTAAGTTGATAAAAAAAGGATGGTTAAATACTCCTGATTATACGAGATTTGCTAACCTCATCCTAGCTAAGAGCCACCTCCGGAATTTCTATGGCATCTACGGCCCGGAACACAATTTGACCTACCGCGAAGGATGGGAAAGGATTCCTGAGAACTGGTACAAGACCCCAGTTGACTACGGACTCATCTCACTCAATCTGGATATCATTGGCTTCATATTGAGGTATCCGGAGCTTGGAAGGTAAGAGACCGTGCTAGGCTCCTATATTGATCAGCCCCCTAACGATAATTTGAACACAGTATTGGAGGGAATTTAGGTGAAGTGGACAGCTTTGCTGGAGTTGATCTAGGGGATCTGACAGGTGGTGTCTTGAACCTGGCTGGCCTATTGAAGGATAACAACCTACTGTGCTTTGTGACCGAGGTGCTGAAGTTCGCCAGCCCCAACGCGCTTGCTGGGATATACTCGACCGTAGCTAAGCCGTTGGAGTTTGTTACTAATATCCTCGCTGTGCCTTTGCTCAACCTTACTTGTCCGGCATTCCAAGATCTTCAGATGGGAGGGAAACCGCTATGGGAGGCGCTTCAAGACGACTTCCCTGGTGCTTTGAAGAGCAACCGTTCACTTTAGATGTTGTTGGGTTGGATTGGTGGTATCTGGCGAATATAATGTGTGGAAGTATACCAGAAGGATGATAAAGTGCAAGACTTCTGGATTAGAATGATGGGATACAGAGGAAATACGGAGCATATAGGATAACATTTGAATAGGAATGTAACGTACCGGTAATTTCAGGGGAAAGTGGGATCATGGCGATCAGTAGTGATTCGAATGGTAACTTGAGTTTCCCGGTCAATTGACAATGTGATATTGAAATACAGGGGGTATAATGTATCTCGCATACATAACGTGATTCTACATCTCAACAGTATCCTTAAAACGACGGTTGAGATAAAATTCTTTCAACTTGTTCTGTGAAAACCTGAAATGGGGATACATATCTGGTTACATGGGGGTTTTGACAAAGAGACATACAAATTGAGTGGAATCCAGGAGTGTCCTATGTTGGTAGTCTGGCAAATGGGTGATGATAACAGAAACGTCATCTTATCAGCAATGCGGCTCAGTGGTTTAGTGGGATAATTCGTCTTTCGGGAGAAATCTCTGGTTTCAAAAGTTACCTAATATAGACGAGGTCCCGGGTTCGATTCCCGGCTGAGCCCCATGTTTTTTTTAATTTTTGTTAATTCTTATATGGATGGAGTATACGACAACTACTTTAAATTATTATTACTGTTATAATTAATCATCGAGTGTAAAAGAGTCTTGCAAGAATGGGACTTGAATAACAGCATGTATGAGAAGGTTCTACAAACATGATCTCATATATCACAATTGCATTGATCTTCGCACCTCTTTTCCTTGTGATCACATTATAGGAATTTCGGCTTTTAGATTCAATTAGTCAATCAATCCCTTTGGAATTCTGGGAAAATCCCCGTTCAGACCCCTCAATAGTAAACAAAGAAGTCCCATATGCCAAGGTCACTACCCTCGGTTAGCCAAAAGTAGCGCTAGTTAGGTAGTCCGGCAAACAACAGACCAACGACAGACCAACGATATCGAGACTAGCTCATACAACCAAATTATAGCTTAAAGCTACTCTACGTTTCTAGCAGCAAAAGTGAATGCTCCGATTCAGTGGTGAGAATCATCTACACATCAATGGTCGGTTATCATGGCTAGGACGGCCGGGATGACAAAGATTGTCAAGTGTCGGGGCAGTGTATGGACTAATAATGGACTCGTTGCGCCCTGCTCTTCCTTTCTGATATTGGAGCTGTCTCTCTGAATTTACCCTTGTGTAACATTTCCTAGAAAGTCATAACAAGCCCAAGCTCCCAAAGTCGATATGACTATTGGGCTAAATCCCAGCGGCCTTCTCGTTTTTTTCCCGTCAATACACACTGGTGGTACTTCATGTACCGTAAGTGGCAGTCGCGTTTCTCGTCGTAGCGATGCACCTTTAGGAAATAGTATTCGGGTAGTTCGAGGATAATGGCAAAGGACGTGAGAAGCTTGCCCGCAATTCGGTCATGGGTATGGCGTACAACTCCCTCAATGACGGGACGATTGTGGCTCACAATGTCAGGCTGGGGAAGCTCGAGGGCTGTGATGAATTTCGGGATATTGTAGATCTCTGTCTTGTCATAAACACCCGGACTGGTTTCCTAATGGAAAGAAACCACAGAGGTTATTCAATAAATTTAACTCTTGATACCATGTTATATTCCTACATAATATTTAACACTGTGGTGGCGATACAAGGGTTTTTACTCAATGTACCTTGTGGTACAGCCCAACAACCCGAAAGGGTTGGCCGTAATGAGTATGGCGATCTTAATAACACTCCCCACCTCCCAATTTCTCCATTTATTTATGTATTTCCTAAGCCTTGGGACGCTCTGTGAGTTCCTTATTGGCCCCAGGGAAGCGGGTACCTCTATCCTTGACCTTCTTTTCCTTCTTCTGTACAACCGGAGGCGGGTAAGCCTTAAGGGTGATTTCCTGCCATTCGGGCGACTCTGCGTAGGCTTTGTGAATAGGTGCCATGAGACGGTTCAAAGCCTCTGCAGCTGCAGGCTTTAGAAGTTGGGGAGTTAACTAGGTGATTGTTAGTAGGTTTCCGGGAGCAAGTAAAAGGTATGAACATACAACGTCGTTTGTGTAATCATCTTTGAGTTGTTGGATGTCAGTATGTATGAGAGGCTCGTTGTCCCGGCGTTCTACACGGAATTCCTTCTTGCCAGCGAGGGCGGCTGCAGGGAGTAAGACGAATTCCACCATAGCAATTACGCCATTATTCTCGACGACTCGAGGGACCGCTTCCGATTTACGGATTTTTTTGGAAACTACCTCAGGTGTGTTAGACAGATCAAAGGAGGAGCAACAATGGGAAAGAAAAACCCTGAAGGGAAACCACAGAGAAAAAGTCTCTCCAAATAACCCCGCAATAAAACCTGCAGAATAGGGCTGCAGATTAGGCGGTCAAACGAGGTGAGCCACGGTCACGACCAACATCCGTACCTGGCCCAATTAATAAAGTGGTGGAGCCGTTCCGAAACCGTAAACATGCATGGACCTGATTTCTGTAAATCATAACTGTATGAAAAGCTTAGAATGAATCTAATCCCCGAATCAAGCCAATTGGGTATTTGAAAAAATGCTCAGATCGATCCGGAGCACTGGTCATCTACAAGAAGCCACCCGAAATTGCCACTAGTGCCAAGTAGATGTATCCATTGCGGGAAATTTGTTGAGTGTAGACAGATAATGGAGCTCCATCTTGCAGATTGCCCGCGTCTGTCGTTAATGTCTTAGCGCCCTTGGCGTGGATCATAATCTATCCGTCTCGGAGAGATCCATAATTGACAATTGACCATTTAGCTATGTGTAAATTCCCCGGCCAAACATGAGAATTATATAAGCAGCAAATATTGATAACTAGTTAATTATAATTACAAATACCTGGTTGGTAAATTACTATAAACTCCAGGGGAACCGTATTCTCTTGTCCCAATTAGCAAGAGTCTTCGCAATACCCAATACCTCCATACCTTATTTATCGCCTGAAAAAGTCAAGCAATAGTTTCGCCAGCATCTCGCTGAAAAAAAAACCCCCCACCATGTCACCAGATCTTCGACGCCCGCCATTTCATACCGACCTTTCTGAAGTACACAGTCAATTCCCCCAGAACGAAGAGATCAGTTCAGCAGAAGATCTCGCCATTCGTCGCAAAGTTCTCGATTTTTCATTAGAAGACACCATCCGCGGGAAGGAAGATTCTATCTTGCACGAAGAGCGAGAGATTCCCGGACCGATAGGGCCCATGAAAGCATCAGTCTTCCGTCCAAAGGTCGAGCAAAAGTCTGGACAACAAAAACCAGGAATACTCCACATCCATGGCGGTGGGCACTGCAGTGGAAACCGCTTCATGGGACTCTCAAGTGTGCTAGACTGGGTCGAAGAGTTCGGTGCCGTCCTCGTCTCTGCGGAATACCGCCTCGCCCCGGAGCATCCTCAACCAGCACAGTTGGACGATAGCTACGCAGCACTAGTGTGGATGAGCGAAAACGCACAAGGCCTAGGTATATGCCAGGATCAAATCATAGTCTGCGGTGGCTCGGCTGGAGGAAATCTAGCTGCTGGCGTGGTTCTGTTAGCGCGCGATCGCTCAGGACCAAAGATACTCGGCCAGTTGTTGATGTACCCGTGGCTTGATGACAGCAATACAACTGGTTCGATGCAGCAATTCGGGGATACTGCTCCATGGACTAAGTCAAATAGCATCGATGCTTGCAACTATGCCCTGGGAACGAATCGCGAGCATGCTACTATATACACTGTTCCCTCGCACGCAAAGGAGCTTGGTGGCTTACCACCAACATTTATCGATGTCGGCGAGGCTGACTTGTTTCGAGATGAGGACGTCGACTATGCATCGGCACTGTGGAAGGCCGGTGTATCCACCGAGTTGCATGTGTGGCCGGGTTGCTGGCATGCGTTTGATATATTTGTGCCGGACGCCCCAATTAGTCGTCGGGCGAGATTGGCGAGAAGCGCCTGGCTGTGCAGTTTGATCTATGGGCAATGAGGTTCCTTCAGTGACACATAGATTACACCTTTCCTTGCCGCAAGCATCTACGTTTAGCACAAAGTAGCCTTATCATATCATTTATAAATTCGCTCAATTCTTGAGTTTTATATGTGAAATCCTCCTAGTGCAGTTCCTGGGAAACTGAGTAATCTGAAAATTCCAGGTAGCGGTCTAGCTAGATATTATAGGAAGACTGCCCAGCTGCCTCCATGGTTTAACGGCAATGATATACTACTAGTAGTGGTTAATCTAGGCATTCTACTGGTGACATTATTTAGTATCCTACTGCAGTGATGTCTTAGGTCTTTCACCAAAGTCGCTCAAATTTTCGTTTCCATTTGATCAGCGGACAGTGTAACCAATTTTTTCTATATATTTTGGCCGGATTATTGTTCGCAAACGTTGTATAGCCCATGTTGGAATATACAGTACAGAAATTGTACGAAACATGTATAGGATAAATAACTCTTTGCAAAAATGATACTGAACTATATGGTCAAAAAGATAAAGTGTAAAGTATTGAGGACCTCCGTGCCCGTTACGCCTAAGGGGAAAAATACAGCATTAGCTCCCTTCTAATTTAAATGATCAATTTGCACAATAAAAATGGAATGGATTCACCATCCTATTCCATCTATATTCAATTGGTAGCGTAGAGATCATGATTCCATTGCCTACAATAACATTAGAATAGACATCATATCACTGGTATCAAAAGCAAAAGAAAGATGTCATTGCCTCAATTTTACTGTAGCAATAAAAACACAGACAAAAGCGAAAAAGGTGGCGGAGTAAAAATACGGGATAAAGAATACATAGACTCAACGGCAGACCTCAGTGCCTATCAGAGCAAGCTTTGTAGAGCTAAAAACAATATCACGCTCTTTCGGGAGAGCTGTCGTAGTCTCTCCATCTGAGCCTTTGTCGGGTTGGTGTCCATGGTATCACTCACCCACTTATCGATCCAGCTAGTACAGATTTCAACAATTTTAGCACGATCTTTCATCTTCTTAGATGTGTTAGGGTTGGACTGAATTTTCCAGTCCTTCCATTTCTCAAGCGATCTAACATTCGCAAGATAATCAAAGATCCGAACCAGCTCTTTGCTAGTTGAACCAAGCCCTCCACGGGCATAAAGAAACTCCCACGACACATGATAGTGAGATTCAAACGCCGGCTTCCACCGGTCCACCCTCGAGTCTGGCTGGTCAACCTCCCGGAGGATCACATCATAGTCGGCAAGGATGCTACCTCCGTGAGCAGCAGCGTTCCGCTGAGACCATCTGGTGTTGCTGATAGGCTTCCCAGCCCATTTGTCCAGCACAATTGACCGCACCTCAATTGTATGTGTCTCGAACGTCCGCTCATAATTGATAAGGGCTTTTTGGGCCTCTTCGAGGTCATTGCCTTTGGCTTCCACATTCTTCTGTGTATCCTCGAGGCTTTTTGTGTATTCTCGAGGATCTTTTGTTGGGAATCATCCCTTGTCTGGAGGTCTCGGGCAGCCTGTGATAGGGTCTCAAGCGTTGCTAGAAGGGTCGTCCCCTCACTGTTTGCCCATGCTTGGCGACTGTCGTCAAACACGACCGGGTCTGGTAATAATGCTTGTCGCATTGTTGTGACCGAGTCTTCGCTCGTAAGCCGTGATAGAGTGTAGTTGGCTTGGCCCTAGTCTGATTAGTGAATAGGTGTTAGTCCCAGTTTGACTAATACCCTTGTTGCCTCTTGTTGCCAGAGCCTTGGTGATAGACGTAGTCCATAGAGCGCTTTGTGGAGCAGCCAGCAATACCCCTCCCTTTCGAACCCAGGGGGTAACCTTGTATAGACTGCTGTCTGTAGAGTTAAGTCCAGGAACGCTGTGATCACGTCCCTCTGCCGCATATCGAGGTCGAACGCTGCTATTATTGAGAGTACAGCTCTTGCTGTTTTGACTGCGAGTGTCGCTGCCTTCTTTTCCTCTGTGGATAACCACTGTAGATCTCTGACACAGACTCTCGCCTTGAATTTCTCGAGATATCCGTCTGCGTCGAGTTTGTAGTTGAATACCCATTTCAGTGGTAGGATTTGATAGCGTTTATCAGTCGGATTTTGGACTTCAGTTGCTGTCTCTTTCCAGCGGAGTGTCTCGACTTCGTAACTTGCTGCAGTGAGGAATTCCTTGGCGTAAGGGTGAACCCTTAATTCTTTCATATTTCTCGGCTCCGGTGGCAGATTGTCTCTGTGTAGTCTCTTTTTCTGGTTAAATCTCTCGTTTAGACTGACTGTGAACGCGTGGAGGACTTCAGGAGGGTCTTGTTCGGTGGAGTCGTCCAGGACTATATATGCTGCGTAGTCTGGGTCTTGTTTCGCTCTCCGTGATCGCCTGCCAGTGATAATATTTGAGAGATCAATATCTCCAGAGATATCCCTTGGTGCTCGGTCTGATAATGGCAGATCTGGGGTAGGTGACAGGGTAGGTGGCAGAGCAGGTGACAGAGCAAGCTCCTGTTGTAGTTGCATACCACTCTCTGATTCAGTCTCATTTTCGTCACTTATCTCTGATATATCTCTCACTTCACTTCTCTCCTCTCCCTCAGTTTCGATGCTTTGTGTCACAGGGATCGGATCTGGTGACAGCGATATCGACTCTTGGAGTCTAGATCTCGATAGATCTATCGGAATTGGAGGATTTGTTGATGGAATTGATGATGAAAGTGATGATGAAGGTGAGGGTAAAGGTGAGGATATTGACTGAGGAGAGATTGGCAGATCTGGTGGAAACGCTCCGGGTATGGTTTCTCTTGTTTGCTGCGTCGGTCTGATCATTTGTTTGCCTGACTGCGGAGTCAATGGTAAAACAGAGGCTGATTTAGCAGGTTGCTGCAATGGGGTTTTCTCCCTCTCTCTCTCTCTCTCTCTCTCTCTCTCTCTCTCTCTCTCTCCATCCACCTCCTCATTTCTCTCAGTTGATTCATCAATTTGAGGGTTTATCCGATCAGTTCCATCAATTTGAGGGTCAGTTTGACCATATCCACCAGGTCCACCTTGCTTGGTATGCTCAATTTCATCATATAGCGTGATCCTTGCTATTGACTTTGGCAATCCCATTTTCTCAGTGAGTTCAACCTGTGCTTCGTCTATTGATAGCAGGGTTGGCCAGTTGACCTCTTGCACTCGATCATCGTACTGACGACTTCCTCTGTTTCAGGTGCCTTTTCAGATCGAGAATATCGCCTTATTTTGTCAAAAACAGCGTCCCTGACAACTTCGACCCTTCTTCCTCCTCTCGATCCTCCTTTGTGCGGGAACCATACACGGTATTCCGTTCTCTCTCTCCTCTCTGCGCTACCCCCCGTCATTTTTCTTTCAGCGCGTAGCAGAACTCCCTCTGACAACCCGTTTCAAATGAGATTCATCCATATGATTACCTTTTTGATACTACCAAATACTAATAACCCCACAGAATCAAACGTCAATCCACCTGTTCTTTCCCCTCTTATCTCCCCTTCCCGGCAAGACGAACGAGTAAGATCTTACTCCATTCCTATAAGAGCTACACTAATACCTCGAGCAGAGCACCTGCTGTCCCCAACATCGTTCAGAGCGACATGGAACTCCCACCAGGCAGATGGGCCGAGTATGCTATATCCCTTCCATGGGATGCCGCGAGACGCGGCACCCACATCCGAACCGATATCCTCACAATCCTCCGTGGCCATGAACTTCAACGCGAGCTAGTGGTTAGAACGACCATCTCCTGGAATGCGCGCCGCTTTGATATGGAAACCGGACAGAACAGCACCCGCGCAGAGGCGGTCTTAATTTTTATGACCGGAAACTTGATGGATGTCCCATGCACTTATTGCCAAGAGGGGAGGGGGATTTTCCCCTATGCGTTCGAAGCCGGGAACGTGGCACCCCAGGAGCGTGCGCTAACTGCTGGTGGCCAACTCCTGCTCGCAGATGCTCACTAGAATTCACTACTAGGGCCCTAGCCGCTCCTGCGGCGTTCTTCTAACCTTCCCCTGAAGTCTTGAATGGACCATAAGTCCGTCGTGCCCTCTGCGAGCGAACCGGACCCCTTGCCGCTGCTAACCAGAACCTTGAAGTCGTGTTACGAAACCCCGCAAGCACTATCCAAGAGATCTATACTGCCATTGAGAATCAGATGGACGAATTTAAGCAATTCCTTACGAGCTTCCAGTAGGGGCACTCTGAAACCAATTAGTAACTAATGTTAAGGCGCATTTCTCCTCCTTCCACCCAGTAATGATAATCGCGATTCTATCTTCTTTTTTTTTTTTCTTTTTCTTGTTCTTTCATAGCCTGTTGTACTGAATAAATTAGAGATATGAGAGTACGAGACACCGGCACTCTACACCTCTCGAACATCTCGACCGAGCACATGTCCACACTAGCGAGATCTGTCGATTGATCTCCGCGGATTTGGCAAACGGACAAAAATTCCCGATGAGAAAATGCCGGTAGGGCGTACTGGAATTCGTTCCAGCGGCAATACCGCGTTTAGGGACGACAAAGCCATATTTCAAACATGTCAGGATGGCTGGCGGAGTCTCATAGGGACCAGAGGCTTATCTCTCAGGTGAGCAGCAGATTCATCCTATTGTGCCTCCACATGACTGCTAAGTCCCCCTCCCCCCAAAAACCCCGGTTCGGTGTTAACCCGCTCAAATAGCATGATGGCCTCGATTTGTGGGATCGGCTCAATAATGTACGACGCGGATCGTTGGGAAGGCTCTGGAGCCAAAGAGCTTGCATTTCGGGGGTTCGTCGTCGACAGTCGAAGTGGCAATTCGGAAAGGCTGCCATTTCAGACACCCGGACACAGTTGGCAAACCTGCCATCCAGCTTAGTGAAGCTATCAGCAGCTGTTCTCATCTAACAATTCCCCAACGGCTTGACCAACCAGCGCCTCGATGTTGGTTTTATGAGCCCCGATTTGGCGGTCCAACTGGCTGCCATTTGGATGCCTCCTCTTGAGGTTCTTACTGTTGAGTTATAAGACTGGTTCTCTTTGAAGTGGATAAGGCGGTAGAGCAGGCCGCCTCGTGTGAGGCTGGCTGTTAGTCCCCGCCTCCATTCGCACCCAATCGCCCGCTTGGCCCAGAAGCCTGGCCTTTCTTCTGCTGCACCAAAGGTACCAATTTGGGATCAGGGTCTGGCGTTATCGGTGCTTGTTGACCGGAGACGCTATAATGGGCGTTTGGTTCCTCGGCTATCCATTTATCAGTATCCATCAACACACTGACTTGCCACTCAGCGCAGGGATACCGTACCTGGGTTTGTTGCCTGCCTTTTCAGCAGGTTATTCCCTTGGGTAAATACATGCCCGAATGATAGAATATGAGAAGACGAAATCTTGCGTTATATGAAAGATCGAAGAAGTTGAACGAAGAAATTGACGTTACTAATATATTGGGACTTTTGAGAAGGCTCCTCTCACTTGGTGAACAGCAATAGTGGCGATTCGGTGCTAGCTCATTCCTTTTTAAGGGAGGTTCACACTGCTATAGCGGCATAAGAAGACCAATTTCAGTCAAGCATAGTATCTTGGATTGTATTACGTATCGGTTCTTGTACTGGATATGGAGACCCGTCATATTTTTTTAGAGATAATCAGGTCTATCTCAGCCTTCCAATCTTGACTTTTTTTCGTCTTGCTCCATATTCCTTTTAGCTGGGTTCACACTCCGGGTCAAATTCATCCTTATCTTCCTTATCACATGTATCACGCAGCGACGGGACTCTGACTGTTTTCGGTCCATCCCTTTCTTTATCGCTTTTTCCTACCTCATTCGAGTATTAAACTGGATTATCACTCGTGGAATATTCGAAAAATCAACAATTGTTAGATTTAGAAAGGGCATAGTATAGGCCTAAGTTGTATGTTTATTTATTTATTTATTAGTACCTTTGGTGTGGAGGGTTCGAACGGCATATCGCTCTTGTCTTCTTTCTAATATGGATGACAATACTCCGTAGCAATAGCAGATTATGGTCTAGCGCACTGGTACACACTACTCTGTGTGCATCATATGACCTGTGCATACATAATATATGCATAAAGTTTATGAGCGATGATCAGTGAAGATCCAATGCTTGAGCTCGAGGTCTGTGAGTTATGCCCGAAGATCTCCCGGCTAGCCGCACAAACATTGCTTATGCAGGGATGACTTTCATATGTAGAAATATAAAGTATGTACAGGTTAACCTGTTTTCATGTCAATTTCCCCCCCATAATTCACCCCATACTTCTCCTTATACCCCTCGTACCTCTCTACACTCTTTTTATATGCGTAGTTAGAGTTGTTTGTACGTTGGGCTAAAGGCAACAATATCCCACGTGCAGGATTTCGTCAGCCAAGACTACCCAGAAACCGCCCAGAGATATCATTTTCTTGGGTTCGTGGCAACCAGAATAGAAGATTCTACTCACATTTACCCAAATCTGACATACAAATGGGCGCCAATAGAAAATAGTGGTCTGACGTCAGGTTATGGGTGGGGAATGCCAAGAAAGGAATGATAGCAGATCAAAATTGACATTTCTCTTTTCTTCTCGGAGAAAGTCGCATACGGGACATTGGATAGACTGTAAATATATAGAAGAGTATGAATATACTATTTATTTGAATATATAGTAACGTATCTCCGCATGCTACTCTCTTTATTACTCCTATATCGCGAACTATGCGTTGTGCGCCACGGCCGCCACCACATTCCTAATCTGAGTGGGGTGTAGATCCACTGTAAATCCACTATAAATCCGGTTTCAGCCCGTGGTGGTGCGAGGTAAGAAAAAGTCTGCGCATAGCTACTACGACTCTGTACATATAACATTTGGAGAAGGTCCACAAAAAGAGATCCTTCCTCTCACGCTCTTTGTTCATTCCCGACACAACAAGGATGACGCCCCCAGAGCAAGACGAAGCTCCAGCTGTTCATAGCGAGAGTAGATCGTCTCTAAATGGCGTCGACGATGAATCTAGCACCCCCGTCGATATCTCCGCTGAGCTTGAAGAAAAAGAGAGCAAAGAAAGCGAACGCTCCGACGGAAAGCGTGAGCTTAAGGAGGGAGATTGCTACGAGATCCTAGGATACTGCTGGCCACGATGGAAGAAATGGACCTATCTGTGCGCGGTCGCCTTCGTGCAGGTTTCTATGAACTTCAATACCTCGGTTTACCCTGCTGCTGTCAAGAATCTGTCCGAGGCTTTCCACATTAGCGAACAGCATGCTCGTACAGGCCAAATGGCTTACCTGGTTACTTATTCTGTTGGTTGTGAGCTGTGGGCTCCTTGGTCCGAGGAATTCGGTCGCTGGCCTATCCTCCAGCTCTCCATGTTTCTTATCAACATCTGGCAACTCCCTGCAGCCCTTGCCCCCAACTGGGGCAGCCTTGTTGTGGCTCGTGCATTGGTTAGTCTTTCCCGAAAGCTAGCGTCTTGATACTTGGTAAACTAACTTAATATAGGGTGGTCTCTCTACTGCTGGTGGTAGTGTCACTCTCGGTCTCATCGCCGATATCTACGAGCCCGAAACGCAACAATTCCCACTCGCATTCATCGTTCTGTCATCTTGTCTTGGTACCAGTATCGGTGGTGTGATTGGAGGACCGATTGCGCGATGTAAGCAAACCACTATTTTCACCTTATACTGGTTTGAGCATCTGCTAACACCTTTGATATTTAGTCCTTGATTGGCAATGGTTCTTCTGGATCCAACTCATCTTCGGGGGTGTCACCCAGCTCATCATCTTCTTCATGCCTGAGAGTCGTTCGACCATTATTATGGACAAGGAAGCCAAGCGCCGCCGCAAAACCGGAGAGGACCCGAACATCTACGGACCCAACGAGCTCAAATCTCCCCGTGTCTCCCTCAAGGAAGCCGGCAAGATTTGGGCGCGTCCATTCTACATGCTTCTACGTGAGCCTATTGTCCTCTGCTTGTCTCTTCTGTCCGGTTTCTCCGATGCTCTGATCTTCACCTTCCTGGAGAGCTTCGCCATCGTCTACAAGCAAGGATGGGGCTTCGGTACTCTCGCACAAGCGTGGGCAGTTATTCCCATCAACGCTGCCTACTTCATTGCCTACTTCAGTTACTTCCCGTGGTTCCTCCGCGATCAAAAGCTCCGACTCAGACACGGTGATGCCGCCATCCCACCCGAGCGTCGTCTCAAGTGGCTGCTTTTCCTTGCACCGCTCGAACCAATCGGTCTATTCGGTTTCGCCTGGACATCCTTCGGCGACTCGAGGAACGTCCACTGGATCGGATCCATGATCTTCTCCGGCTGTGTCGGTATCGCCAACTTTGCCATTTACCTGTCCTCGGTTGATTACATGGTCGCCTCCTACGGTGTCTATTCCGCTTCTGCGACTGGCGGTAACGCTTTTGCGCGTGATCTGCTTGCTGGTATCTCGGCCATGTACGCTACGCCCATGTACACAAATATTGGAAACAAGTGGCATGTTGAGTATGCAACCACCATCCTGGCTTGTCTTTCCTGTTTGGTTGTGACTCCCATCTATGTCTTCTACTGGAAGGGACCTCAACTTCGCGCGAAGAGTAAGTTCGCCTCTACTCTTGCTGCCGACAGAGAGCAGAACCATGGCCGCCGTGTCAGCAGGATCAGCGTCGAGCCTTGATTGCATTATTAGAAGCATATGAAACCGTGTATATTTTCATATTATGTATATATGACTCGTCATGTCTCGATCGAGAATTTTTGATGACCTTGTTATTAACTACATCATGACTGCTATATAATCTTGGGGTTGGGACTTTGTTCCATAGTTATCTCATTGCAAATTAGATCGGATAGACTAAAATTTAAAACTTATTTCGATATTTCGACATTCATCTTTACAAAGTACAACAGTCTACCCTATAAAGATTCATCCACCTCTAAACTAGCGGTCACGAGATCTAATAATTTTCTTCCTAATTTAAATTAGTCCTATGTTTTCAACCTGTATTATGATATCTGAGTTGAATTCTGAATTCTTCTTTCTTCAACTACCCTCCTCCCTATTGAATTGAGATCAGATCAGTTAATTCAACTTGCTTGCTTCAGATCAATTGCTCTGGAATGGCCTAATCCCCTTATCGATGAGATCCCCCCGATCCCCCCGAAGGCGATAGGGGTATTCCTGGTGCGCCTCCCTTTCCTATGGTTGAATTCCACTATGATTTATAACGCTGGAGCTGGCTGGAGAGAGATACCGCTCTTAGGGTGCTTACCCTAAGTGGAATTGGGTGGTCGTCACGGAGGGTTAGCGAGTATCTTGATATTACGCGGAATAAAGTACGCCATGCTGTTGATCAGGGTGCTCCTACCCCTCGCCGTCCTTGTGGTCGAAGCCCGAAATTGATCACGAGTGAGGTTGATGATATTATTGCTTTTATTACTGCGAACGAGACGAATCGCCGTCTCTCGTATGAGAAGCTGGTTGATATACTATCCCTGAATATCTCGGTTAATACCCTTCCACGTACCCTATCTCGGAGGGGGTATAACCGGCGTATTGCGATTGATCGACCTGATATAAAGGAAAAGAATATCCTTGAACGTCTTAAATGGGCACGTGGGCATGTTAATTAGACCCGCGAGGATTAGTGCCGAATTATTTGGACTGATGAGACTTGGGTGACTCCTGGATACCACCGAGAGATGCGAGTGACGAGACGTATTGATGAAGAGAGGCACCCTGACTGCCTTCGACCACGACGCCGGAAAAGCGGAGGCTGGATGTTCTGCTCGTTTCTTGGAACTGAAAAGGGACCGTGTCTATTTTGGGAGAAGGAACGGGGCTGGATATCTGGTGAATCCCATGTTGTAAGTATTGCCCCTTTAATGGAAGGATTCTTCCGTTTAAGAAGGGAGTAAGATCCGATTGTAATGCACGATAATGCTCCTGGGCATACTGTTAAAGAGACTCTTGATTTCTTCGAGGAGCTTGGGGTTATTATGATGAAACCGCCTATCTTTTCACCTGATTTGAACCCCATTAAGGAGGGATGGAACTGGGTGAAGAATTATATCGAGAGAAAGTATGGGGATCAGCACTTTCCTTTATCGAAGCTTCGTGGTGTGGTTTAGGAGGCCTGGGATGCTATACCAGAGGAATTTCTATCTGATCTGATTATTAGTATGCTATAAGGGGCCAGGCAGTTATTGATGCTCAGGGGCGTGCGACTATTTACTAGAAAATAGTATGGTATATAGCAATTAATGGTTGAAAACATGGATTATATCTCCTGTATTGTAGTAATTTGACTTAGTAGAAATAAGAACGAATTGAGGGTTGAGAATCCTGTTTTTTTTTAAAAAAAAAGATTGTAGTATTTATTTATAAAAAATACCATATAAAATACTACGCTACTTATGCGCCAGTAAAAATGAGGTTGAATCTTTATACGGAGTAGGGTAGACTGTTGTATATTGATTTCGTGGTAGGGAAGATATTAGCATGTGACATGTCCAACAATCGTTGAGGCTAGCTGCAGATCGGGTGGGGAGTACACGATGGATATAGCAAAGATGTGCACTATTCTACATCCACGCACTTTCTCCATATAGCACCATTTATCTGTATCCCCTCTCTCGTGCGTCCGACCTCCCTAACCACACCACCGACAAAAAAATGATCACAAGTACAATTGAAATAGCCGCGCCACCTTCCAAAGTGCGCGAGGTTGTATGTACTAGCCCTAGACCAGAATTATTGACGAAACAAGCTGACCAGCCATCCCTCCTCTAGCTGCTCAATTTCTCAGCATACCCGGAATGGCATACGGAATGGCTTAAGGGGATCGAGCTCAAGGACAGCACCAAAACCTCACAAGAACTTTCCTCGGGCGATAAAATTGAAGTCAATATTGAGAACTTCAAGTTCGTCGCCGAAGTCAAGGTGAGAATAACATCACGTCTTCCCCAAATAAAAATAAGAAAAGTAAGCTGAAGACTCAACGTCAAAGGAGAACACTGAGAGCTTGTTTTCTTGGCAAGGTCCGCCCGTGTTTACCATTGCTGGATTGCATAAATTCCATATTGAACCGGCCAATGATGGTGCTTCGACTGTTTTTACGCAGACTGAGGATCTCAAAGGACTCCTTGCGTTCATTATGAGTCCTTCCCTGCTTGGGAAGAAGATGCGTGCCCATTTTGATATCTTCCACAGGGATCTTAAGGCCCGCGCTGAGTTGGCGTGATTTGGGGGGCTGGATTTGTTGGACACGCACATTTTGCTGTTTTGTGCACGGGCCTTCGGTTTGTGTTGTTACGGCTAACAGTCATGTTGATTGAAATTGTATTTCATATGAATTCCACGCTACTGCTATATGGGGAGACCGAGACCGATATCGAGAGGTCTGATAGTACCGATTGATCCATGCCATTGAAGATAGTATCCCAATAAGATCGAAAGAGATCTGCACTCTGCGGTTTCTCCAACCATAAGACAGCTTTGATGTGGATCAGAGTGTCACTAAAGTTGTCCAGTTGTAGAGAAGCAGCTGCATCTTGTGCCCTCTTCGCGAACCAGCGATGATGAGCCGTGCCAGCTGAAGCCACCATCCCGACCGCAGTAAACCAGACATCAAGTGAATCATAAACATGAGGGGTTAACGCGAGATGCTCGAGGTGCTCCATAAATCGAATGACAATGGTTTTCATTATGACTGCATGCGAATAATATGTTGGTCCCTGAGCGATGAACATGTAAAGTATGATTCCGCAGCGGATGGATTCCGTCATTGGTGAGAGCGGAGGTATCGTTGTGCCCGGGGCGGAGAGTAAGAGTCGGTGTATGACAAAACAGGTAAGGTCGTGAAGTTGTGTGGCTGGAAAAGGTATATTGCGCGCTCGCTGGAAGATGTTGCGTAAACGATTGAAAACATTGCTAACGGCACAGTCCACTTCGATGGTGCTGAGATCAAATAGCTGATCGTCATGCGCGGTCGAGTCAAACTGCCATTCCGGGATGGGAGGGATGCCATCCCCAATGCCGAAGTCATCCTGAGTCTCAAATTGAGGATGACCCATGATGAGCATCGATACCCTTTGGGACATGTGAGCATCACTCCTCTGAGTAGTAAAGTGGATGACCTACCAGCTGATCATTCTCGCGGTGAGCGGGCTTGTCTGCCTTATTGCATTGATGCCACCTCTCATATCGACCAGCTTTTTCAATCCATTAACATGCATTTGGCCAACTATTACATTGCCTTTGCCGAACTAAGAGTCGTATATAATTAGGGACTGGTTCGAATAATAAAACAGTAGGAAAAGAGGGTGCTTGGGTAATATCTCACCTCGATGGTTGCCAACGTGATGACTGAGTTCATAGTCCCATCTTGAACAGCTAGTGACGTATATTCAACCTTGCGTCGTAGTAAAGCCACCGAGTCTGCCATGAGAAGTTCGGATGTCTGAAAGCCTTTCTGGGCCAACAATTCTTCGTCAAGACATGCTGTCTGTAGAGAGACGTGAAATAATGCAGGATCCCCTAGGGCAAGTGGCCACCAAGAGATCAAAAACGGATTTGAAGTGGCATTAAGATCAAGAGGGTAGTATTGGAAGGCGATTTTGTGAAGGACTAAAATTTAAAGGAGTAAGCCAAGGTTTCATCGACAAAGCTTCATTGAAGGGCTACATACAGCTGTAGATCAGACGTTGAACGTGTTCCCGAGGAAGTCTAGTCTGTGGATACGAATCAAAAGGATCAAGAGACCCGAATCTGTAGTTAGTTAAAGTGCCGTATCCACTTAAAGGGTTTGTTGATTCCCCATTCTGCCATCCGGGAGTTGCCGACCCCGTCGAGGGTTCGTTCGCATAGGCGCACTCGACTTGACGCTTGATGCAGCGGGAACAGCGCGGTGTGCGGAGATCACAACTGGACTTTGATTTGGCACATGCCGCACAGGACCGGCGGAGAGATTGGCGCATTTTGAAAGAATATTTCTGGGTATCCAAAAGGGGGATGTGTTAGCTTTGGGAATAGCTCAGGCTAGAACCCCACACCGCTTTTGAGATCACGATGTGAATCGAAGAGTTGGAACGTCGCAAACGTAAGTGACCGAAGGTCGGCTCATTGATCCTGGGCAATTGTTCCGTTATATGTGGACCTCAGAGTAATGTCCTGAGCCCAGATCAAAAGAGGACTAGCCCCCGCCTTTACTCCTGCTTAGCACCGGAGTCTAGTCCTAATTGGGTAACATGTATAATCTGAGCATATCCATGCCATGCCATTACTAATAAAACTCTTATAGATATCTTCCACCTATTTCAAAGCAGCTTGTCAATTTACCTCTGCCATCCACCATAATGGACTCCAGTGTGGCTTTTGAGATGACCAACATCTCCATCGCTCAGAATGAGTTGCCACAGATATGGCCGTCCAACCATTCCCAGCTTCAAAGCTACCTACTAGCCTCCTTGGTGAGCTTCTCGATCTGGCAGTACGCAGTGACCTTTTTGGTAGCCGTACTAGTCTATGATCAAGGTAAGCAGAGCCTTCAAGGCCATGAGAATCTACTAACGCCATCTCTAGTAATGTATATTATACGAAAGGGCTCTATAGCTGGCCCTCCACTCAAGATTCCACTCATGGGGCCATTTATACAAGCCCTTCACCCGAGATTTGAAGGGTATCTTGCACAGTGGGCAAGTGGGCCACTCAGCTGTGTATCCGTCTTCCACAAGTGAGCGCTCACACATATTGTCCTCACGTCTATTGTCGTCTAGCCGGACTCTATCGAACCCATCAAACCGTCCGAGCTAATCCGATTTGCTATAGATTCGTTGTTCTAGCCTCCGACAGAGACATAGCCCACAAAGTGTTCAAGTCGCCCACATACGCCGAGCCATGTATAGTACCGATCGCAAAGGATATCCTAGGCCACAAAGCATGGGTCTTCCTTCAGGGCAAACATCACACCGAGTACCGCAGGGGGCTGACTCCCCTATTCACCAACAAGGCCATGGCTACTTACCTGCCTGTGCAAGAGAAGGTGTTGGCCGATTATTTTGCTAAGTTTGTCGCCACCAGCAAGGCGAATCAGGGACAGCCAAAGGAATTCATGACCATGTTTCGCGAGATCAACTGTGCACTTTCATGTCGCACATTTTTCGGTGATTATATCTCCCAGGCCGCGGTCAAAAAGATTGCAGACGACTTCTACCTCGCTACAGCCGCCCTCGAGCTAGTCAACGTGCCTCTGTCGATATACATTCCGTTCACCAAGCCCTGGCTCGGGAAGCGGACAGCCGACGCTGTTCATGTCGAGTTTTCAAAATGCGCGGCTGCATGCAAAGCAAACATGGCGACTGGGGCAACACCAACGTGCATTGTAGACCATTGGGTGCTCCACATGATGGAATCCAAGCGATACCACGAAAGAATCGCGGCAGGGGAGACAGATGTTGAGAAGCCAGCGAATATGATCCGTGAGTTTACGAATGAGGAAATTGGAGAGACATTGTTCACTTTCCTCTTTGCCTCTCAGGATGCATCGAGTAGTGCCACTACTTGGCTATTCCAAATTCTCGCACAGCGCCCCGACGTGCTTGACAAATTACGCGCGGAAAACCTAGCTGCTCGCGGTGGTGATAAAAACAAGTCATTCGATCTTCCTATGCTCGAGTCGCTCACCTACACCAATGCAGTGATAAAGGAACTCCTACGCCACCGTCCACCCGTTATTATGGTCCCATATCTTGCGACAAAGAACTTCCCTGTGACGCCCAATTATACCGTCCCCAAGGGCTCCATGATCATCCCATCCTGTTATCCAGCTTTACATGATCCGAATGTTTACCCTAATCCTGATAACTTCGATCCCGAGCGTTGGATCTCCGGGGACGCCGAGTCCAAGACTAAGAATTGGCTAGTATTCGGTGCGGGAGCGCACGATTGCCTCGCAAGGAAATATGTACCGCTGTCTATGGCTGGTATGATCGGGAAAGCGGCGCTGGAACTTGACTGGAAGCATCATGCCACAGATAGATCAGAGGAGATTCGAGTTTTTGCTACATTGTTTCCAATGGTTAGTACCACTTTTAACTCGTTAAGTATGTAACATTCATTAACTTTTGACATAGGATGGATGCCCGTTGGTGTTTACCGAACGTTCATAGATGCGTTGGCATTGTTAGTAGTACTCGGGATAGAGGTGAGCTGCTGCATCCTGGACTCTTTCACAGTGGAATGATATCCGTTGTGATGGCGGCTATAGGACTTCCGACCTGTACGGGCGGGTTCATCATGTTGGTATATTTATGTTTCAGCCTATGGTATAAATACATATCTCACGTGCTTCCAAATTGTTTAAAGAATTGACAATTCTCAACTTCTCTCATCATGGCTTCCCTTCTTTCAAAACCATGCGATTGATCTTTCTAACAAGCTCCTGAGTCCCGTAAGGTTTATAGATGATATCATCCATTCCAGCACCTACCATTTCCTGTTGTTGCTCCTCTCTGACATTTGCTGTGACTCCCAGAATTGGAACATGTCCTCCGCTTTCTTTTTCAAGGTCACGGATTGCTTTCGTGGCACAATTTCCATCCATCACAGGCATCTGCTGATCCATGAGGATGCAGTCGAATGGTTCATTTTGATTCGCATCCACAGCCTCTTTCCCGTTGCTCGCTTCCGATATATCAAAGCCCAGTGTGTTCAACTTGCGCGATATGATTCGCCTGTTGATAATGTTGTCCTCAACCAAGAGAATACGCTGACCGTTACCGGTTAGTTTCTCATCGTCAGGATGTGATGGAGGATTTCGCTTTGCCCGTTTGATCTCCTCGTTCTTGACCTCACGGGCTATACTGTGGGTTCGCGCTGTGGGTTTGTCCTTCGGGGCACCTGGCTCTGCCTCAAAACTCTCATCTTCAGAGGGGTTTTCCGGGATCTGGGGCTCTTCCGTTGTTTGGTCCACACCGCACATTTTATTGCCCATTGACTGGATATCAACACAAAGCTTATCGATTGCAGAAACACTGGGGCTTTCATATTTTTCGCCACCTTCGTTGGTTGTTCTGCGCACTTTGAAAAAGAACCCAAAGGTACTTCCGTGAGATTCTTTTGAGCTCACGCCAATCTCACCCCCATGGAGATGGCAGAGTTTCCTACACACGTTTAGCCCAAGGCCAGACCCGCCGTATATGCTCTCGGTTTTGGGAGTTGCTTGGTTGAAACGTTCAAAGAGCCGTTTCTGGGCTTCCTCGGTGACCCCAATACCCGAGTCCTTGACGGCGACCATGATATATGCAATTTCGCCATCTCCCCATTCGGGATTGTCAGTCGCATCTTGACGGAGCCCTGTTAGACCTGAATCGAAGAAGACAATATTTGGCGGGTAGGAAGGTGGACGCTCGAGCGAAGCACCCACTGAAACTCGGATTGATCGCCGGTTCTCCGATTTGGCTGTGAATTTGATAGCATTTGAGAGTATGTTGACGAGAACCTGGCCCATCCGATCTAGATCTGCCATGACCCAATCAATGCCGCATTTAGCGTAGGAAACATCAGCCTTGTATTCAAAGTGTATCCTCTGCTTTCGGAGCTCGGGTCGGAATATTGCCATCGGAATGGTGAGATGTCGCTGTGGCTGGGCCTTTCGTGGTGACAGCGGCAGCATCGATGCGTCCAGTTTCGAAAAGGTGAGAACATCATTCACAATTTTCTTTTGATGCCTGACGCAGAGACTGATTGTCTCGGTCGCCTCGGTGATATCCATGACCGAGATTTCCCCCGGCTTCTTGTTATAGATTGCTTCTTGAATATCCTCTGTGCAATGTACAATCGCAGATAGAGGATTGCGGATTTCGTGACTGATCATATCGATGAATCGCTCTTGCTGCCTCTTGCGTTCCCGTGCCTCTTCTGCAGCCTGCTTCTGTACGAGCTCAGCCCTTTTCTCCGGGGTGATATCTGCGATTGTACATATAAACACCCCACCTTCGCCTAGCCCAAAGCATTGTACATCCCTATCATCCAACCGATCCAATGTCATAACACACCAAATCGAGTCCGGGTCACGGGTGTGGTATTCGAGACGTAGCGGTTGTTTCGAGGTTGCGACCTCCTGGTACCCAGTGGACACCCGGTCGTAGTCGTCTGGATGGACGGACCGTAACCAACAGTCGGAGAAGTTGACGCTGGGGTATGGGATGAGTTCCCGGAAGCGGCGATTCACAGAGACTAGTTCATGTCGGTGAGTGAGGATGGCGACGCCGTTCGGTAGGATGTCGGCCAGCTGCTGTGCCGAGACGTTTTGCTTGAAAGTGAAAGGCATTTATTCCTCGCCGCGCTTCTTCCAAATCAATGGAAGAGACGCTAGACGAAGATGAAAGCCCCGAAGTGTTTGACTGCTTATGTGTTACCCGCAAGAGTTCGGGCGCGCATGGCAGATGAGGCTGAACGATGTGTGAATGTCCACTTTGACAGCCAATATATGTTGGATTATATATCAAAAATCAAAAGACATTAGCAAAAGAAGATGACGGTATAAAATGCTGTACGTCATTGTGGATTCCCCTTCGATCTACTTCCAATCTGTGGGGGGAAGTATTCCCGCGAACATTGTGATTGGCAAAAAGCCTAGAGCGATGTCCACCGGGGGAGTGACCCTGGATGCTTGGCTCTTCACACCTGACGTCATTCGGGGTTGAACTTCAGTTTAAGTCAGGGGATATCTTAATGACAAGCTCTCCGGTATTTCATTTTCTTTCTCGTTGAGTTCATGTATAATGAATTTTGATTCTCTGCGTGTTGAAAGACTTGGGGTTGGAATGTCCGTGAAGTATGCATAGATGCTAGAAGTAATATAGAATTCTAACCATCGTAAAGGCCAAGGGAATGATATATTCTTCTCTGACAGTAGTCTCTAATTAGCTTGACTGGAAGGCATCTGATAATTGTTAACGAGAAGTAGATTGAGGGGTTAGTACGAAGTTGACGCCTTGCGATTATGCAAAAGTGTGGAACACAGTTTAATATTACAATCTAGTGACAGCACATGCTGTATATAAAAAAAAGTAAAATGTGCCTGTTTTTGAAGCACCTCGCAGTGGCGATATGTGTATATGTACTGCAGCGAGAGTTATACGTCAAATGCCAGAATGGTATTGTGCCATGAAAGCTTTCCGAGTTGAGATTCGGTAGATAATTACCAATCTCGTCAATGTGCTGTTGGTCAAAGCTTTTGCTTGGCTGGCGATCAGCATGGCAAAGCAGGGGAGAGCGTTCCTATTGCTCACGTTTGGCTTGGCAAAAGTGATCCGAGGGTTGGAGGGGTAGGTTGTAAGTACATGTCGTAATTCATCGATTATTTCTCAATTTTATTAAGTTCAGTCCTTTGTTAATAGCCGTGTTATATGGGGCAGCTGTTCCTTCACTGAAGAGCAGGAGTACGAAGTACAGAATACGCTATTGAAAGGACAATTATTATGGGAGATTTGAAAATTTCGACGGAAAAGACCGGTCCCCCACTAAGAACCAGTGGCCTAAAAGACGGCCTGTGGGTGAAAGTGGGATGAGATGCCGGGGAGTAAAAATCAGCGCGTGGCGAATCTCAAATTTTGACATACAATAGAAATAAAACATATCTAAAGCAAAGGTAGAGTCACAGCTGTGGGCTTCGGATGTTTTATCCGATTAAGAATATACAAAGTAGCCCTAGAAATATCCTGCGAAGTTCGTGCGAGCCCTACCGGGATGCCGTGGGTCTGAGCGCTCGGCCCGATCACATTTGAAGATTTCGGCCTGATAGCCATTTTGAAGCCATTGATGCGTTGGCTCTAGCTATGTGTTAGCAGAGCCACAGTTGTATCATATTATAACCCTATACTATCTCGCATGTGCGAATGACAGGGCCAGTGGTTCCTCCTCTCCACTTCTGGATTCCTCGTGGGTCTTGACCACCTCAAAGAGGTAACCCGAAAGAACATGCTCCAGTCCACGATCTTTCTCGAAAAGGTAATCCGAAAGGCTTCACTCCACTTTTTAAACTGGATCGATTGAAGAGTTTGATTTTTTTTCACTCTATAGTAAATCCTATATTAGTATGAAAGTAGCTGCCAGTGCTACCCTGGCCATTCGTTTCCATTGTTATTGTATTTTCACAATCGCAATGGGCATTGTCAACTATTTCAGTCGACCGCGTAACCATCGGGCACATGGTGGCGATGAAACACCTACTATGGAAGCCCCAAAAGTAATCGAGCCTACTATCATCTCTAGTCCGGAGTCATCGGGCGCTGTTACACCTGCACACATGCTCCCTTCCCCGGCTGGCAGTGAGGATCCTCTTATGTTCGAGAAGATCCCGCATCAGTTTGGCCGCCTAGGTTCTTGGAAAGGGTCTTTGATCTTGCTCGTCACCTCTGGCTCTCAGTTTCTCGATAATGTCTTCATGACAAGCGCCAACATTGCCCTGTCGTCAATTCAACAGGATTTCGATGTGTCGAGTACTGATTTGCAATGGATGATCTCTGCATACACTTTGTCATTTGGTGGCTTCCTTTTGTTAGCCGGTGCTCTGTCTGATCGGTATGACACTTCCTCTCATTGTCTCTACACTTGACAAAATGCTAACCCGCACAGCTATGGACGAAAGAAGATTCTCTGTCTGGGTCTTGCCTGGCTTTCTGTGTGGACCCTAGCGATTGGATTTGGGCAGTCGTTTATTCAACTCACGGTGTTCCGAGGCATTCAAGGAATTGGAGCTGCGATGACTGTGCCATCTGCTATTGGAATCATCAGCTCCTACTTCAGTGGTGTTGATCGCACCCGTGCACTGTCAATATATGGAGCCTCGGGGACCCTGGGATTCTGTACTGGTCTCATCTTTGGCGGTTTCTTGACCTCTTCCCTGGGCTGGAGATATATCTTCTATCTGATTGTCATAATCACTGGGTCCTTGGGAATCTTGGGCTTTATCGTCCTCCCAAGCGATGTTCCGTCCGAAAAAAAGCACGAAAGAATGGACTACATTGGTGCAATGATGTCTACAGCTGGTCTAATCTTGCTGCAATTCGTCCTATCCAGTGGTGGAACCTACGGTTGGGACCAGCCGTTTATTATCGTGCTGTTGATATTGGCAGTTGGTCTTCTTGTTGGATTCACAATCTTTGAGAAATACGTCAGCAACCCTATCATGCCGCTTGCTTTGTGGAAGATTCGCAATTTCGCCGGTCTCTGGGTTATCGGTTTCAGTAAGTTTTCTGATTCCCAAACTTGTGCCTCGGGCAATGCTAATTAATTAATTAATAGCGGGCTATGGTACCTACCAAAACGTTATTTACTATATTGTCCTTATGGCACAGGAAGTGGACAAGCTTTCTGCTGGCGACACGGCCCTTCGCTTCTTGCCTATGGGAGCGATAGGCTTCATTGTTTCTCTTGGAACAGGAAAACTTCTCGAATTCATGAATGGAAAGCACCTCCTCATTATAGGGCTAGTTCTGGCTGTGGTCGCTCCCATCTCGAGTGCTTTGACTTCCAATCCTGAAGCAGGCTTGTATGTATTGCCACGCTTTTTTTTTTTTTTTGGATAAAACTATACTAACTGTCACAGTTGGCTTAATGTTCTCCCCACATCTCTTATCAGTATTTCATCCGTGTCTTTTATATTCGTCACAACGAGCACTGTGGTACTCACAAGTGTACCGGTCGAAGTCAAGAGTCTTGCTGGCGGAATGGTGAATTTTCCCTTTCCTTTATTTCAACTTTCATTTGCTGACACCCTAAACTAGCTCAATACTGCATTCCAAATTGGCTCTGGTGTTGCATTGGCTATCTCAGCGGCTGTTACCGATGCTGTCGACATCCAGCAAGGACACAGTCTCGCAGAGCAATATGCTACTGGCCTCTGGTGTTCTGTCGGTCTAGCCGGGCTTGGGCTGATCATCGGTCTGTTTGCGGTTCGACACAAAGGCATCGGACCAAAAGATAGATTGGGCGCCGGCCCAGTTGCTATCTAACCCCGTAAGCCTCCATGACGGAGACGATGTCGACCACCCGGAAAACTGGACTTTCTTCCACTATATCTCCTTTCCAGAACCGCGCGACCATGTCAATAAACGAATGACGCGAGAACACATCGCACATCAGAAGGAGTTGGCCTGTCAGTTTGTCGACCCCTGGCGCGGTGTCTTTTAGTGGATGTCCTCCGATAGTGAGGTTTGGTATTCCAAGCTTCGAAATGGGGACCCAAGCCTGTCGCGGCATCGGTGGGATAATCGTCAGGGCCGGGTATCTCTGGCAGATGATGCTGCTCATCCCATGACTTTCCAGTATGGCCAGGGGCCCAACCACACTATGAAGGACGCTTACACCGCATGTAAGGCAATCGAGTCATTCTGGAGCCAGGGTGACTTCACCATTGAGCGTGCCGCGGCTATACAGGCGTATGAGGAGGATATGGTCATGCGGACAGGCGAGGTTCGTTTGAGCGAGGAAACCACTGTAAAATGCATAATTGGGCCAATGTTATGCAAAGCCCCTTGATCAAAAATAGGATGCGATTCAAGATTAAGTCTGAGAATAGCATGTGTGCTATCACGTGCAGGAAGTCAAGGACACGTCTAAACCAGGAATCATGAACTTCACATCACAATCACTTCCCATAGACGATCTTTTGCTCTAATACTTTCCATTCCTCATCCTTACTAAGCCTCTTCTGCAGACTAGGACTGAACTTCCTAAAATACTCCATTTTGTCGAACACCATCATAATGTGGTGAAACCGAACAGGACAGGGGCTCTTTCCTCGCCATCCAGTGCTCCGCTGGGCGCATACAACTTCATCAATGACAACATTCTGTATCGGTTCTCGACACTTTTATCGATCAAGATTCTCAGGCACATTCGGTCTCGACGAGGGACCGTTCTCATGTTAAAGGACTGACTATGCGTCAAGTACGGTCCCACATTCATTTATCTGAAGCATCAACAAATATCACAACATACATCTGTCCCAGTACCAAAGGTTTAATGTGCATTTACTCATTCTGGGCGGACATGCATCGCGATGGAAAGGATCAGGGGAGGTATGATTGGTAGTGATTGGGTAAAACGAAGTGAGGATTTAAAGATGAAACTTCTTTCACAGCTAGCGACAAAGGTCCACGAGATGCGGCGCCTCTAGACATTGGAAGACACTAAGATTGCTCCTGTTGATGGCGGATCGCTTTTTGACTGTCGTGTTTTGGGGCTTATCTTGCGCTTCAGTGCCTTTGATACCATCGAGGACTTCCATCAGTATTTACGCATGGGCATGGGATTTGGTTCAAGGCTTAGACCTGAACCTCAAAAACTTATCAAACAATGCAGCAAGTCTTGGCCTTTTGTATTTACTCACGGCGACCTCAGCAGCCTTAACATTCTTGTTCGCGGAGATGACATCGTTGGTATCCGTCATATTGAGAATACACTTCCGTTTACCAAGTCAACCCACAAACCTCTTTTCGGATCAATGAGATTGACAAATTCCTACAACCAATGCTAGAAGAGCTGGCGATGGAACGGATCCGTCAAAAGTACTTTGGAGATGTATAGGCAACCCTAGCTGGTAACGAATATATACAATTGGGTAATTATCATCAGGATTCGGAGATTTATCTCTTAGTATAAAATACCAGTAAAATGGATTAGATAAACAGTACAAAGTCCATAAAGTTCCCGAGGTCATGGTATTAAACTAGTATGCTAGTGTGCTAGTTAGTTATATACTCTAGACTGCCTTGTCACCTTACCCTTCCTTGGCTTCTTAGGCTTTGTCTTATGAGGTATCCCTTTTTAAGTAAGGTTTCGAAGTATATAAGAAAAGAGATCGGAAATTAGTATACAAATTGAAATGGCATATATGCTTCGAGAAGGCGGTGATAACTTACGGTCAGGCAGTATCCAATGAGAGAGTTGTGCCTGGCTTTGTAGTTGCCTGGGGGCCTCATGTATAAGGCAACGAACAGTGGACCCGTATACCAGATCCGCGTTTGGACAAACTCCGCGATCCGTCCATAGCAAGCTGTTCCCGGCACTCAAGGAATGTAAAGAGAAATATTTATCGCAATGATTTCCCTGTCACAGTTCGGGAGGTTGACTTGGACTTTTACCCTTCTGAAGTGGTGTAAATGACTTGATTCTCATCATTATTGTTAACGCTGCGCATCATGATCGCCAAGAAAAGAGTCCTTCAGGTGGTCACGGCAGCTCTTGCTGCCTTTTTCCTCTGCACAGTGCTTATCAAAAACCTCGGGGATAAACCATGGTCCCTCTCGTTTCCAGAACTCTCTCGGAAATACATGAGCGATAGTGCCTTTGAACATATCAAGAACCGCACTCTTGGGGTAAGACCCTACCTACGATCACATAGAATTGATTGCTGACTAGGCATCAATCTTTAGTTTCAGCATGTCTACGCGATCAGTATGAAAGAGCGGACCGACAAGCGCGATTTCCTCACACTAGCAGCCTCGATATCGGGGTTCAATGTCGAATGGCTCGATGGAGTGCGACCCGATGAGCTAGCTCCCAAGGCCATGCCTGATGTATGGTTTCCGGCTCAATAAGCCCCAGACAATCTTCTCATTCTTTATTAGGGACTGGACCCCTCACTCGTGAAACCCACTGCCATGGCATGTTGGCGTGCGCACATGAATGCATTGGTCAAGTACGGTCACCCCTCATTCTCATTGTCTAGAGGCTATTCTGACGTATGGATTTGAAAAACAACAGTGTGATAAGCAATGACTATTCGACTGCATTGATTTTGGAAGATGATGCAGACTGGGACGTGAGTCTCAAGTCCCAGCTGGGAGAATTCGCGCGTGGGCTACACACTTTGAAAGGAACGAAACACGTATCCAAGGAAGCTCCTTATGGAACAGATTGGGATCTCCTTTGGATTGGCGGGTGTGCCTCGGGCCCGAACGCCAACGAAACAAGCTTCTACGCTATCCCGATGGACCCAACAGTTTCAAGGGTCCACCACCGAGCCACCTGGGGCGGACCCACCGAAAAGTGGAAGCAACAATATCCAGAATTGGCCGAGGACTCGACGCGATTTATCTACCGGGCTGAAATGGGCTGCTGCATGTTTGGCTACGCAGTTACGACCAGGGGTGCGAGGAACATTCTTTCCGCTCTTTCTATCGATCGTTTGGATCAGGCGGTAGACAATGCCCTGAGTGACTTGTGCGCAGGTGCCAATGGGCGTCACAAGATTGAATGCTGGGCCCCATTCCCTAATTTGATTGGTACATATAGAAAGGCCGGCTCGGCTTCTCGGGATTCGGATATCGAGAAGAACGATGCGGGTGTTTTCCACGAAGAGCAAGCCTGGAATATAGTATACAGTACCAGGCGTAATATACAGCAATTGGTTGCTAATGAGGAAACTGTTTACTCGCAATGGAAGGATGAGGATGTGCCATGGTCGAGTAAAGCGATTAACCACAGGGAGTTTGTTTATCCTGGTGGATATCTTGTCAATTAAGCATAACTCGGGTTTCCAGGTGTTTGTTAGTGTTATAGAATATTCACGAATAGACCTCAGGGTCCTATCTTTGTTATTTTCTAGTATTAAATGATGTTAAAGCTGGATGGTGAGAGGGTTGGATCAAGTGCATATTGGATCTTGGCTTCCAAAAACTAATCCAAATCTCCTTGCTCCCCAAAGGGATTGCAGGAAAAGGGTTTTAATATGTAAAAACAAATGAGAGGCTACGGTACCATGTAGATAAATTGTAACCCAATCACACAGTATCATTCCATAGGAAATTCCTGATCCCTTGGAATTTATATCCTTCCAGCCAAATCGGTGATTAGGTTTCAGGCTTATATGCTCTATTTTATAGCTTAGAACTCCACATTTGTAGTCCCTTAGGGTCGGCCCGGGCGGGTTTACATCGAAATATTGTCTTGATGGATGAACAATCTGTCTCGATCTTATTTCGCTTAACTAGCTTGTAATGACAGGGGATTCATGAGTGATCGGCAATCGCAACAGCCTTGCTTTTCACTTTTATTATAGTTAGCTCCAATACTAACTAACCAACACACGACCACTCCGTATGGTATAACGCATCAAGCATTGAGTTGGAGATACCTCGACCCTCATGTGGGAGCGTTCCCCTTGCGTCGGCTGTTGGGTACCATTTACTCCAGACTCGGGGGTTTTCTTCAGTAATTACACCAAGCCCTTCACCAATTCCTCATTTGCATCTGCTGCTACTATTCCTTTCTGCGCATTCTTGGGGCCTGTCACAAGGGCATTTCCAGATCTGTCTTCTCTTCTCCTCCAAATACTGTTGGCCTGGTCATTGGGAGCCCTTGGTTCTAGAGCGAGCCGAAAAGAATGAGCCCAATAGCCTTGCATGTCCTCTTCAGGGGCATGTGGCTCAAACATCCTACTTGGGTTCGGTGGTGATGAGAAGATAATGCACAAGAGAATGGAATGCCTAGAGCTGATTCCAATGAGCCGAACTAACCGGGTTTCAACTGTCCTCGATTTCTTTAAATCTCGCCGATTTCATCCAGTTGACAGCAGCTGGCCAGTCTAATTTGCACAAAAGACTTCGTCGATCTGTTGATCAGTGTCGATCCCAGTCCTGCCGATCTATTATAGTTATACATATTACCCATTAATTTTCGCCAAGCCCTCCACATGCCACGCTTCCTCGGCCTTCGGGGCAATAGCCTCAATATCGCAGCCATTCTGGGGGTGCTCATGCCTGGAATCCTCACAATTGGTTACAATGCATCACTACTCGGGGGTGTCTTGACACTGAAGAACTTTGAAGAACAATTTCCGGAAATCAACATTGCCGTTGCCGATGATAAACCACATGCGTCAACGGTCCAAGGCCTTGTTGTGGCCTCTTACACAATAGGAGGGTTCTTCGGAACTCTCTCCTGTATATGGCTAGGTGACATATTTGGCCGCCGGCGCACAATAATGACAGGCTCAGTCATCCAAGTCCTTGGAGCTGTTCTGATGACCAGTGCAGGCTCTCTGGCTCAACTCATCACGTCTCGGGTCATCCTCGGTGTAGGCACTGGTGTTCTACTGGCCACAATCCCTCTTTGGCAATCGGAGATATCGCCTGCCGATAAGCGCGGTGCTCACGTCGGCATGAAGGGAATATTCAGTGGCTTTGGGTGTGCCCTTGCCCTATTTCTCGATTTTGGAATGTCATTTACTCAAGGCAGCGTCGCCTGGAGATTTCCTTTCGCTTTTGTGGTGCTGCTTTCCATCGCTGTTTTGGTGTTCATCTACGTGCTACCAGAATCCCCTCGGTGGCTTATCCGACAAGGCCGACTTTCTGAGGCCAGTGAAGTCCTGGCAGCTCTGGGCGATACATGTGCCAATGCTGAAGCGGTGGAAGCAAAAATCAAGGACGTCCAAACATCACTAGACTTGTTTGAGGCAAAGTCACTTGGACAAATATTCCACATGGGCCCCCAAAGAACTTTCCACCGAGCTATGATTGCTGCTTTGGCAATGTTGTTCTTGCAACTCACTGGATCTACGGTTATAACCTTTTACAGTACGTATCGCGGATCGTTTATTTCCTATTTACACATTGTACTGACTCATTCTGCGCCCTATTAGCAACAGCAATCTTCGAGAACAACCTTTCGCTCGGTAATTCAACATCCACAGTCCTGGCAGCAGTCTACCAGCTAGTCGGTCCCCTTGGCGGGGCCTTCTGTGTTCTGAAAGTCGACGGACTAGGTCGTCGTGTATTGCTTATAGGCAGTGCGATCGGAAATACCATCTGTCTAGCTTTAGTAGCTGGTCTTGGAACCCAAACCGACAACCCACTTGCAATGCGCGGTGCTGTTTTTTTTATTTTTCTATTTCATTTCAGCTACATCATTGGATTCGGCGCAATACCGTATCTCTACGCCACGGAGATTGCGCCTTTACATCTACGCACGACTATCAACAGCTTCAGTATCAGCATCTCCTGGGCCGTCAGCATCATACTCACCAGTGTCACGCCCATCGCATTCAATAGTATGGGACAGACATACTTTGTCATTTTCGCCGGCTTCAATGCAATGATGATACCTGTTATCTATTACCTGTTTCCAGAGACAGCTGGGCGCAGTCTCGAGGAAATGGACAAGATCTTCACTCTTTCGCGAGGTGTCTTGGATGTTGTCAAAGTTGCTCGGCTTCTTCAACACGGACAAGCGATTGACCAGTCGCTTGAAAAGGAACTTGACCCAAACTTCAAGTGCCCTGAGCTTCAACTTCGCGAGGTATATTCGCCTTGATTCTTTTTCAGATTTGTAGGGTTATACAATTGCAATAAATAGATATTATGATACTGAGAATTGTACTTCATTGGAAACACCAGAGGATATATTGATGAACACACATGAAGGCCAAAATAGAACGAAACATGTCCAACCCACTTTCCGTAACAAAATAATGGATCGCGGCATGAGAAACTGCAAACAATTTTAATAAATCGGAAGCATCTGGTAGCCCTCACTTTTTTGTACCCGAGTAAACCCATATATGAATTGGTCATCTGTTCCGTCGGGGTTTAAAATCCTCTCCACTTACTGTGATTAGTTCAATTTATCTCACTGCTAGACCCATGACCACACAGCGAATTCAATCAGATAAAGAGGTTGATTGAATACTTTGAGTGGAGGTTATCAGATAGCAAGCCAAAGGTGGGGGTGCAATGGGTTTCGATCTTCGTAGGTTTTGATCTATTGAATTTCCAACTCACTTTCAAGTCAGAGCCTTGATGTCAGGATAGATGGAAGGGATTATTTGCTGTAGAGCAAGCCAGCTATATAGCTATTTCCATAAATATGTACCTTTGTGCATTGAAAGTGTTTTCAATGATACACACATGGGATGTTTAGTGTCCCCAGATTATATAGTTGAGTTCATGAAAGCCTGACTAACAAGGATCTGCAACCAAACAGTTTCTTCTCCAAGAGTGGGATACACTATCTTCCATCCCCTACTCCATGTCACCTACCTCTTTTTACCAACCGATCATGTCTTTACCAGAGTCATTTAGTGGAAAACGAAGACGGAATAGAACCCCCTCAAGCAAGCCAAAAGTGAGCAAAGCGCGATCCTGCGAGGCTTGTCGGCGCTTGAAAACGCGATGCGAAACGGGCAACTCTGACCGATGTCATCGTTGTGGTGTTCTCCGGTAACAGGCCAGACTGAAAAATCGGGTTACTGAACTTTCCTATCTGACCATATTTAGAATAAAGTGCTCTTTCCAGGCCATTTCCCGCAGTCACCCTGAACCGCTGGAGACGGGGGTGGATTATAGGACAAGTGGTGATGACTACCATACACGGTATATCCCCCCATGCTCGATTATGTTAGGCTCATTTTATATACTAAGAAAAAATAGGCTTTGTGCGGTAGAATCCACCTTGAGTCAACTTCAAGCGTCACTATCTGTCCGCAGTTCTAGCGACTGCCAGAATAGACCAAGGGTAAATTTCGGTCATCTACAAGATATCTTGGAACTCAATTGATTCAGTACCCTAGGCTAATTCATCAATTATTGAACGAACTGCACGCGATGCACCCATGAATCTTATCCAAGAGATCCGATCGAGCATCACTTTATATGAACAACCCTCGACCGGCGATGATAGCACTGAAGACATTATAATCAACGGTATAGTTTCCGAGGATCTTGCTACCATGCTTCTTAGAGGGTGAGTTCGCTCTCAATAATGTTCTTTGGGGGCTGTTTTGGGGTTGACGTTTCAGATTCTCGAAATTATCCAACCGCTGGTTATTTATGAGTACAGACCCCGTCCAACTACGAACCAGATCACCGCTCTTATTTGGTACTTGTATCTTGGCTGGTCTCCATATTACCCCCTCCTTGTACGGGTCATCGACACACCAAGCTTTGTATCGCCATATTCACGGATTGCTGGGTCAGGCACATCTTTCTTCCACTGCCTCGCTCGACACAATACAGTCTATGTTGATTTTCTCCATGTGGGACCTACGACCAAACTCGGGCCCTGATCATAGTACCTCGTGGCTTCTCAGTGGCACGGCGGCTATGCGGGTGATTATGACTACTCCGTTTGGGCAGCATCCAAAGACAAGCGACGCCGATGGACGCGAACGAGCCCAAGCACAAGAAATAATGCGCACATGGAACTTGATTTGTCTCTGTCAGCTACAGTGCGTTACAATAAAAAACTTCCGATTCTATATTAAGAAAATCTAACACCAATCTCAGGTTTTCTGTGGGCTCTGGTCGTCCACCGATCATATCTAGCCAGTACTTTGACGAATGCATCAAGGTCCTCGATTTTCCATCATACAATGCGCGCGATGAATTGGTGTTGGCTGGAGTCAGGTTATACCGACTCCTTTGGGAAATTATAAGCTCAAACGTGATACAAAATGGAAGTGCCGTTTGGCCCGAAATCGACAACCTGCGAAAGTCCCAAGAGAACATTTATAGTGAGTGAGCAATT